GTGCTGTGCACTGTGTGCATTGTGTGCACTGTGTGTGCTATATGTTTATGTGCTGTGTGTACTATGTGTGTGCTGTGTGCTGTGTGTGCATTGTGTGCTGTGTGTTGTGCACTGTGTGCATTGTGTGTGCTGTGTGTGCTGTGTGTACTGTGTGCTATATGTTGTATATGTGCTGTGTGTACTATGTGTGTGTGCTGTGTGTTCTGGGTGCATTGTGTGCTGTGAGCTGTGTGTGCTGTGCACTGTGTGCATTGTGTGCGCTGTGTGTGCTATTTGTTTATGTGCTGTGTGTACTATGTGTGTGCTGTGTGTGCATTGTGTGCTGTGTGTGCTGTGTGTTGTGCACTGCGTGCATTGTGTGTGCATTGTGTGCTGTGTGTATTGTGTGCTATATGTTGTATATGTGCTGTGTGTACTATGTGTGTGCTGTGTGCTCTGGGTGCATTGTGTGCTGTGTGCTATGCACTGTGTGCATTGTGTGTGCTGTGTGTGCTATGTGCAGTGTGTGCTATATGTTGTATATGTGCTGTGTGTACTATGTGTGTGCTGTGTGCACTCTGTGCTGTGTGCGCTCTGTGCTGCGTGCAAGTTGTGTTGTACTCCATGTGTTGTATTGCACACACTTGCATGTGGTGGTGGTGCTGTAGTTGTGTGTTTGTGTGGTGTTGCAGCAGGGGTAGAGATGGGAACTGATACCAGGGTCCAGGGACATGAGCAGGACAAGCAGCTGGGCCTTTCCTGCTGACTACCAGGCCTTGGGCTGCACGGGCTCACCAGTCCATACCCTCCAGCCACCGAAGACGCTGAGCTTGACAATCCAGTGGGGATGGGTAGGAAAGGTGGGGGACAAAGACGGAAGGGCTGACATCCATCAAGATGGATTGTACTTTAAACTGATTGGTTTATACAACTACTCAAAGATGATGATGATGATGATGATAAAATGGGAAGATTTTCCTAAGCACTTGTCACCCTCCAAGTACAGATGGTGGAGAAGCTGGTGTCTAATGGTCAATGTCAATGTGGATGTCCCAAAGCCAGGGGCTTCAAGTGACAGGAGGCAAAAGTTCAGCAGGCTTCAGGACAGCAGAGGTCCTGGCCCGGGGACAGCAGGAGCGTGGTTAACAGCTGGGTCCCCTTTTGACCTGCTTGCTCATGTGTCTGCCTAGCATGGTGTGGACTCCACCCCAAGTCCCCTAGCTGGACTTGGGTGTTCCGGATGCCCCAGGAGCCCTGGCTGCTGTTAGTTCCAAGTACATTGGGACTGTAGCTGTCATCACAGAATGTTCCAGACGGTCCCAGACAGGTCTTTTTACTAGAGGGCCATCCTGACATTGTGTGAGTCGGCCTAAAATGTCCTGAGGAAACCTGTGCTTCCCCGGGTTTTGAGTTCCACACTGCAGATTTATCCAGAAAACCACCATCCACAAAACAGTCCCAAGTCTTTGATAGCATCTTGGGCCACCTCGATCCTCCCCCTCCCCAGGAGGCAGTCCTTAAAGATCAGGGAAACCGAGTCACCAGCCAGATAAGTGCCAAGTGCTGAATGGGTTCCTTAAAGAATGAGAGCCACAGGCACCAGGGGCTGTGGGGTGCTGTTCACTGCTTCACCCCACATCTAAGGGATCCTTTGGGGCACAAGGGACATTATGGGGAACGACCCTCCCCTGGCTGAGGCCGCACACACAGGTGGCAGGCCTGGGATGGGCAGAGTCCTGTCTGACCTTTCACCTGCACTTTTTCTCCTCCACCCTGAGCCTTTTATGATACAAGCATCAACTTTGACAGCAACCAACCACCACAAGCAACCATGTGAGCACACGGTCCAGGATTCTCCCACCCCACCCCGAATCCCACGCACTCTGCAGCCCTCTCCTGGACCTGCCCTGAGTTAAGGCAAGAAGTGGGGATGCGAGGCCAAGGGCCACAAGAGAGGCAGAAAGGCCTACAGTGTTGCTCATGAGCCTCTAGCGGTGTCTCAGGTCAGACAGGTTCACGGTAGACTCTTTCCTCATTCCCCATTTCCCCAGTGGGATGGCATCACTTTCCCATCGGCTCTCCCCCACCTTCCTGGATTTAGCCCTCCTGGACTTAGTTGCTTATTTGTTCACTTAGATTTATTGCACATCGTAACTATCCCATGTCGGGCCAAGGCCAGGAGCAGGGAGAGAATCGGCAGTCCTGTGGAGGGCCTGTGGAGGTCCCCTGGTTGTCATGGTGATTCCATCAGCTGGCTGCCAGCTCTCCTCCTGCTATGGCAGTCAGCTGTGAAGAGGGTGGCCCCACACTTGCCTTCCATCTGTCTACTGGGGCTCCTGCTGGACCAGCCACTCCTGTCCTCCGTTACTGCCCGTGAGGCCCAGGAATCTGTCCTCTACCATGGGCCTCCTACAAGCTCCGCAGGAAGGTCCTTCTCCAGGCTCCCGTGTTACCTTCACCCCTTAAAAGGACATGGTTTTCCCAAGGGATGCCCCAGCCACTTGAAAGGTCTGAAACACCAAACAGCTGTTCAGGGGACAATTTGGAGTTGTGAAGAGGAATTAAAAGTGCACCTGAAAAACAAATACAAGAATAAAACGTAGGAAGTTTCCATTAAATGTATAATTCAGTAGGAAAGCTTGCTTAATTTGTTTTGTTGCAGTTCTTAAAATTAAACTCAAGACTGAACTCAGGGCTCTGAACTTGCTAAAAAAGGTGCTATACCACTTAAGCTATGCCTCCAGCCTCCCCCTTATTTTTGTCAGTCGTGGGGCTTGAACTAAGGGCCTGGGTGCTGTCCCTGAGCTCTTTTAGCTCAAGGCCAGTGCTCTACCAGTTTGAGCCACAGTGCCACTTTTGGTTTTCTGGTGGTTGATTCGAGATAAAGAATCTCACAGACTTTCCTGCCCAGGCTGGATTTGTACCACAATCCTCAGATCTCAGCCTCCTGAGTAACTAGGATTTCAGGCATGAGCCACCAGCATCCAACTTCCAGTCCCCTTTTGCATTCATTTTTTGTGCTGGTACTTGGGCTTGATTTCAGGATCTACCTCTTAGTTGACTTTTTTCTGCTCATTGCTGGCTCTCTACTACCTTAGCCACAGCCTCACTGCCAGCTTTTTGGTGGTTAACTGAAGATAAGTCTCACTTTCCTGACCAGGCTGGCTTAGAATTGCCATCCTTGGATCTCAGCCTCCTGAGTAGCTAGGATTACAGGCGTGACTCTCCTGAACCTGGCTCACAATGAACTGTGTCAAAGTCAGGTTGGCAGGTCTGCGTGATAGCAAGCAAATATCCTGAGCTGACCACCCTGCGGAGGGAGGAGGGAGCCTCTCCTGGCCAGCTGTGTTGACTCAGTACAGTTCACCTCCGTGAGCCTGAGCTTCCTCTTCTGCCTACCGGAGACAACAGCTATTCCTACCTCCGCTTGGAGGTTTACTATGAGGATTACAGGAGATAATGCAAAGATGGTGTTTGTAACAGAGATGAGCAAACAGCGGGCTCTCAATGCAAAAATCACACTTAGACACTGAAAACATGGAAGGCAATTTGAAAAAAAAATGCAAAAATGCACACTAGTTTCTTTACAAAACATGAAGTGATTGTGTACAAAATTAAGACATCTGTTTATTGATCAGCATAAGGATTCATTTCCTGAGACCTACACAGAGTCTTTCTCCCATTTGGAGACCTCTTCCCTGAAACCTCACTGGTTCCCATTCTGGAAACAACCATCTTCATAGTGATGCACAAGTTCTAAAACGCTGAAAATGCTCTCTGGTCCCAGTGAAAACTGACTAATCCTTCTCCAAGCTCTGTGGCTCATTTCCTCTTCTTTGGTTATTTGGGACCTGGAAGAAAACTTGACTTCCAAACTTCTCACCCACTAGTAGTCCCTGCCTCATGGCTTATCTTCCTGTGCCAGGACACAAAGCCCACTGAGGGGCTGAACAAAGCCCAATGGCCATTTTCTTCCCACACAGACAGGAGAGCCAGGGAATTTGGATTCTCTCTCTCTCTCTCTTGCCAGTTTGCCAGTCCTGGGGCTTGAACTCTGGGTCTGGACACTGTCCTTAAGCTTCTTTTGCTCAAGGCTAGCACTCTACCACTTGAACGTCTGGCTTTTTCTGTGTATGTGGTACTGAGGAATTGAATCTAGGGCTTCATGCATGCAAGGCAACTGCTCTACCTTCTCAGCCAGAGCCAGGGAATTTGGAATGGGAGGAGGGTTAATGCTAGATTTTTCAGGAACTGGTCCAGAATATCCAGCCCTGATGGGGCCTTGATCCAGTGCTCTGGAGATGGTTAGGAGAGCCTGCATGGTCTGCAGTGGACAAGGGGCCAAAGCGGCCATGCCAGTCCTGTAGGAGCCAACGGACCAGCACAATATGAGACAGAAGGAGAAACAATCTCTTAAAATGCCACAGTGGCCGGGGCCCGGTGGCTCACACCTGTAATCCTAGCTATTTCAGGAAGCTGAGATCTGAGGATCACGGTTCAAAGCCAGCCTGGGCAGGAAAGTCCATTAGACTCTTATCTCCAATAAACCACTAGAAAACCGGAAGTGGGCTCAAGTGGTAGAGCACCAGCCTTGAGTGAAAAAGCTCATGGATCCCTTCAGGACACACACACACACACACACACACAGATGCCACAGAAGACATGGGTGTATGAACAGGGCCTCGGGACCAGCACCCAGAATGTTATCTGGGGAAAGGAACTTGTCCCTCCAAGCAGCCTTTATCAAACGGATCCGCCTTCCAACGAAGACGGCCAGCCGCGAGAGACAACAGGCCTTCCAGAACCTTCTCCCCTAATGCAGAGGTCCGACCTTGGCGAGAGGACAACTCAGGCTCTGGGAAAGACTCACTTTCCAGCCACACTCAAAATGGCTCCAGAGCCGGGCTCACGCGTGCCTTCTGCGCAGGCGCACCATCGCGCGCCACGCCCCCTCTCATGGCTCCCCCGCGCCGCTCCGGGGCGGAGCTAAAGGCGGAAGTGGGTGTGACAGCGACGGAAGCCGAGCGGGGACCTCAGAAATCACTCTTGAGGCGCGCAGCGGCGGGGCGCGGGGCCATGATCCCCCCGCAGGAGGCCTCCGCCCGGCGGCGGGAGATCGAGGACAAGCTGAAGCAGGTGCGGCGAGGGCCCGGGGGCGCGAGCCGGGGAGGGCGGTGGGAAGCCGCGGGCTCCCCTTAGCTTCCCGCTTGGTTCCTCGTAGGAGGAGGAGACGCTGTCCTTCATCCGAGACAGCCTGGAGAAGAGCGACCAGCTCACCAAGAACATGGTGAGTAGCCATGCGGACAGACCCTGCGGAGGAGCGTCGGCAGCCGGGTCCTGCGGGCCCGGGGGCGCGGGCCGTGATGGCGGCCCTGGATGGTGTCATCTCCAAGTGGCCTCGCGCCCCTCTTCCCCAGTTCCCCTCCCGGAGGACAGACACCGCGGCCCCCAGCGCTGGACTCGCTGTCCGACCCGTAGCTTTCTCCCCAGTCGGCTTCTGTGGTCACTTAACGGGTGGCATCGGTCAGGTGCCGGCAATTCAAGTGATGAGGATACTCAGCCTTCCCAAGAGGGGCTCGTCCTTGCTGGGCAGCTTGCTTATCTGTGTGGTTCCTGGTAGATAAATCTGAATTTTCATTAACTTGTTTGCTGAAACGGAGGCCAGGCCAACCCCTCTCCCCTCCCCCATAAGTCTGTGAAGTACTGAGGAGCGTAATTCACCTTGTGCAGAGTCTGGTAGACGATAGATGTTCAGCAAATAGCGCTTTATTCCTAAGGGAAAAATAGAGATTAAGTCATTGAAAGGTTGTAGTCCTTATTGAGTCTCACTCTTAAAGACAGGGTTTTGAAGGTACCAGTGATGTATTTCATTCTACTCTTCATGAGGCTGCTATCTCTTTAGGAAAGCTTCAGAGAGAACATAAATTGAGATTTGTCTTTAGAAGGTAGAAGAGGCTGAGTGTCAGTGGCTCACACCTGTAATCCTAGCCACTCAGGAAGCTGAGGCCTGAGGATCATGGTTCAAAGCCAGACTGGGCAGACAAATCTAGAAGACTCTCTTATCTCCAGTTAATGAGCAAAAAGGTAAAAGTGGAGCTGTAGCTCAAGTGTTGGAGCTGCAGCCTTGAGTGGAAAAAGCTAAAAAGCTGAAAGTAGAAAAAGCCCTGAGTACTGGCATATGCCAAAGAAAAAAGTTAGAAGACTCTATCGTGGGAGTGACTATCTTAGGGAGAATTAGTTTGGTGCTTGATTTGCATTCAAATCAAATGTCAACCGGCATATTTTGATCACGTAGCATGTACTAGACAAGTGGTAGGTGGTAGGAATGCAGTGAACAGCGAAACCATGTCCCTTCCTGTGCCAAGCTTATTATCTGGATAACCAGAGAAAAGGCAGAAAGCTCCAAATGCCCAGGAGTGGGTGAAATCCATGCTGGCCCTGCTTTCCTCCTGCAGGTGTCTATCTTGTCATCTTTTGAGAGCCGCCTTATGAAACTGGAGAACTCCATCATCCCTGTGCACAAACAGACCGAGAATCTACAGCGGCTGCAGGAGAATGTGGAGAAGACATTGTCCTGCCTGGATCATGTCATCAGCTACTACCATGTGGCTAGTGACACTGAGAAGATCATCAGGGAGGGGTGAGCTACGTGCAGTACTAGTGCTCTCTGGACCAGTGGCACTAGTACTCAGTGAGAAGTGGCGGGCCTAGAATAGATCTATGCTTGGAGTTCCCTTGTCCTGTGTGAATTATTTCTCCTCCACATACCATCTCTTCTCTTCATCCTCCATCCTTCCAGGCTGACCCAGCTCTTTGCCTTCCCAGCCCCACAGGTAGACTGGAAGAATACTTGGGAAGCATGGCCAAGATCCAGAAGGCTGTGGAGTATTTCCAGGACAACAGTCCAGACAGCCCAGAGCTCAACAAAGTGGTAAGTAAGGGATCGGTGAATAATGGGAGACATTTGGGGACATCAGTCTCCTGCGGGGCACTTGGCCATTTCAAAGACGTGAAAAGACGTCTGACCATATAAAATAATATTTATTGCAATGAATTCCAGGAAATGAAAACAAGAGGTTTTTTTCTTTGTTGTTATCCAACGTGGGTAGGGATGGGAGGGAAAAGCTGGGAGAGAGGGAGGGAAGGGGTAACATTATCCAAAAAGAAATGAACCCTTTACCTCACTTACAAAACTATAATCCCTCTGTACATCACCTTTATAATAACAATTTTTTAAAAAGAAGTGAATAGAAGAATAGGTAGGTGTAGAATATAGTATGCAAGTTACAGATGTTAAGTTTTTTGCCTCAGGAATGGTAAGTATACATTTTTATTATATTTGATAATTGGCTAAATTATGAATTGTACTTCAAATGTAAGTTTGACATTAAATTAAATTAATTAATTAGCCTGTCCTGAGGTTTAAACTCAGGGCCTAGATGCTATCCATGAGCTTCTTTTGCTCTACCACTTGAGCCATTACTCCATTTCTGGCTTTTTCTGAGTGGTTTATTGGACATAAGAGTCTCATGCACTTTCCTGCCCAGGCTGGCTTTGAACTATGATCCCAGATCTCACCCTCCTGAAAAGGTAGTATTACAGGCATGAGCCACCAACACCTGGCCTGACATTTGATTTTTATAAGTACACTTGTGGTTTCTTAATTGTGTCAAAAAAATACATCATAGCTAGGCTTTGGTGGCTCATGCCTGTAATACTAGCTACTCAAGAGGCCAAGATCTAGAGGATCACAAATAGAAGACAGCTCAGGCAGAAAAGTCTGTGAGACTTCATCTCTAGTTAATCAGCAAAAAAGCTGGACTAGAGGCATGGCTCACCAGCTGTGAACAAGAAAGCTGAGCAAAAGTACAAGGCCTTGAGTTGAAGCCCTGGTATTATCACACACATGCACGCACGCACGCACGCGCACGCACGCGCGCGCACATGTGCACAGAGCATTTTTTGCTCAAGGGTAGCACTCTACCTCTTGAGCCACAGCTCCAGTTCCAGCTTTTTTTGCTGGCGAATTGGAGAGTCTTTGGATTTGTCTGACCAGGCTGGCTTTGAACCGTAGTCCTCAGATCTTGGCCTCCTGAGTAACTGGGTTAACAAGTATATGCCACCAGTGAATGGCTAAGCAGCTCATTCTTGTAAAACCCTGGGTTTTACCTGTGAGCATCAATTTTGAAAGAATATAAACAAGTCAGATTTCCTGGTGTTTCTTCCCTGGGTCATATAGAGGGAGGAGGGCAGTGCCGTCAGTGCAGAGGCCTGAGCCAGGAGGCCAGAGGAGGGTGAGGGCGGCAGAATGCAATGCGAGCAGCAGCAGCACAGACAACAACTTGCCGCTCTCTTGTCCCTGTAGAAGCTGCTGTTTGAGAGGGGGAAGGAGTCTCTGGAGTCTGAGTTCCGCAGCCTGATGACCCGGCACAGTAAGGTCGTCTCCCCCGTGCTCATCCTGGATCTGATCAGTGGTGATGATGAGCTGGAGGTCCAGGAGGAGGTGGTGCTGGAGCACCTGCCGGAGAGTGCGCTCCAGGACGTGGTCCGCATCTCCCGCTGGCTGGTGGAATACGGCCGCAACCATGGTGAGAAGCCGCCTGTGAGCTCTGTGCACCCACGGCTTTCCCAATCCTTTTCTTTTTTGGTGCCAGTCCTGGGGCTTGAACTCAGGGCCTGGGTGCTAGCCCTGAGCATTTTTTGCTCAAGTCTAAGTGCTCTACCACTTGAACCACAAATTCCACTTCTGACTTCTTACTTATGGTGCTTAGTTGGAGATAAGAATCTTATGGACTTTCCTGCCTGGGGTGGCTTTGAACCCCAGTCCTCAGATCTCAGCCTTCCAAGTTGCTAGGATAACAGGTGTGAACCACCAGTACTTCACTAAAAAAAAAAAAATGTTGAATTGAGCAAGAATTTCAGAAAATAAAAGCTCCAGTGGATCTTACAGTGTATACTTCTCAGCCCTAAACGCTCCTTTTCTTTCTCCATGTGTACATGGCCTTATCTATGTTTAATCTCCAGCTTTCCACAAAGACTAGTGGCAGGTCTTAGTTTGTGGTAGATTTGAACGTGTTGATTATGTGTGGCTCGGGAACTGCGCTAAGGGAAGCTAGGGCTTGGTGGAAGATTTGCAGGGGCTCTTTTTGGGGTGGAGAGGGAGACCAGTGGGCAGCCTCCTGACCCTTGAGCAACCCTTAAGCCAGAGCCTCTCTGTTTCTTTCATTACATCAAGGTTTGTGGTTCAGTATTTGTTGGCAAATGCTGGAATGTGCCATGGTTTCCATATTTGTCTCCATGCTTGCATGCACTCTGGAATTTTCCAGTTTCCCGGTATTGATCTGGTGCCATGGTGAACGTATTTGTAGGGATTTGCTTTGTTCCTTTGGGGATTTCTTAAGGATGCAACGATCAGGTTAAATATCTGGCATTTTTGCAAACTGATCATCTCCAGCTTTTCCTCACACTTATCGGCAGTCAATGGCCATTTGGTTTTCATTCAGTTTGTTTTGTCATTTGCTAGGATGTCCTCTTTCATTTCAGTGGCTGAACATAGGTTATCTCTTTTCTTTTTTCTTTCTTTTCTTTTTTTTTCTTTTGGTCAGTCGTGGGGCTTGAACTCTGGGCCTGGACACTGTCCCTCAGCTCTTCAGCTCAAGGCTAGCGCTCTACCACTTGAGCCACAGCACCACTTCCAGCTTTTTTCTTTTTGCCTATATGGTGCTGAGGAATCAAACCCAGAGCTTCAGGCATGCAAGGCAAGTGCTCTACCACTGAGCCACCTTCTCAGCCCCTTCTTTCTTTCTTTCTTTCTTTTTTTGGCCAGTCCTGTGGCTTGAACTCAGGGCCTGGGCACTGTCCCTGAGCTTCTTTGGCTCAAAGCTAGCACTCTACCACTTGAGCCACAGCACCACTTCTGGCTTTTTCTGTGTATGTGGTACTAAGGAATTGAACCCAGGGCTTCATGCATGCCAGGCAAGCACTCTACCACTAAACCACATTCCCAGCCCAGGATATCTTTTTTTTTGGGTCCGGTCGTGGGGCCTGAACTCTGGGCCTGGGCGCTGTCCCTCAGCTCTTCAGCTCAAGGCTAGCACTCTACCACTTGAGCCACAGCACCACTTCTGGCTTTTTTCTTTTTTTTGCTTATGTGGTGCTGAGGAATCGAACCCAGGGCCTCAGGCATGCAAGGCAAGCGCTCTACCACTGAGCCACCTTCCCAGCCCCTATTGTTTGTTTGTTTTTATTTTTTTTTTTTGGGTCCGGTCATGGGGCCTGAACTCTGGGCCTGGGCGCTGTCCCTCAGCTCTTCAGCTCAAGGCTAGCCCTCTACCACTTGAGCCACAGCGCCACTTCCAGCTTTTTTCTTTTTTTTTGCTTATGTGGTGCTGACCAGGGCCTCAGGCATGCAAGGCAAGCGCTCTACCACTGAGCCACCTTCCTAGCCCCAGGATATCTTTTTATTCATTGACATTAATTGTCTTTTTGTCCTCCACAAATTATTAATATCTTTTGCCCCAATGAAATCTGAATGTTTTAACTTTCTATAACTTATATCCAGGTATGGTGGTGCATGCCTATAATCCAAACAGTCTGAAGGCCGAAGCAAGAGGATCTCAAGTTTAAGGGCAACCTGGGCTTAAAAAAAAGAAAGAAAAATTAGCCAGCTCCAGTGGCTCAAGTCTGTCATCCTAGCTACTCAGGAGGCTGAGATCTGAGGATGGAGGTTCAAAGCCAGCCAGTCCATGAGACTCTTCTCTCCAATGAGCCACCAGTATAGGAAGCGGCACTGTGGCTCAAAGTGGTCGAGCACTAGCCTTAAGTAAAAAGCTCCGGGATAGTGACCAGACCCTGAGTTCAAGCCCCACGACTGCCAAAAAGTCAATAAATATATTAATAATTTTAGAAGAGCCACGCAAGGTGGAACAAGCTTGTAAGCTGAGCTGCTTAGGAGGCTGAGGTAGGAAGATCGCTTGAGCCCAAGAACTCAAGGCCATTCTGGGCTATATAGTTAGATCACATCTTAAAAAGAAACCAACATACAAACATTCAAAACTTATAAGCAGAGAAGCAGGGTTTGGGGTGGAGCTGAGTGGTAGAGCACGTGACCAGCATGCATGAGGCCCTGATTTTGATCCTTGGCACCACAGAGCAACAACAAACATCTCATAATTCGTAGTCCTGTTGGAAGGGATGGTTTTCTCTTTAACACTGCCTGGGTTGAGATGAGGCCCCATGGCTGGCTGCGGGCCACGGCGGCTCTAGCAAGGGGTTGACGCTCACCCTGACAGGCTCCCTGCCACGGGGCAGAGGGGGCACCGCGCATGGCACAGGTCACCACCCCAGCTGCCATATCTCTGTTGCTGACTCTCCTCAGATTTCATGAACGTCTACTACCAGATCCGCTCCAGCCAGCTGGACCGCTCCATCAAGGGCCTGAAGGAACATTTTCGGAAAAGCAGTTCTTCCTCTGGGGTTCCCTACTCCCCCGCTATCCCCAATAAGAGGAAGGACACACCCACCAAGAAGCCAGTCAAGCGGCCAGGTGAGCCCCCTGCCTTGCCATCTGGGTCCTGGAATGCTGACGTCAGTCTGGGCTCAGGAGCAGACCCTCTAATCTGTCCTGTGGTAGCCCTAGCCTTAGTTATGTGAGCCAAAAGCAAGTGTCTTGTCATTGAGGAAGGCCCGGTAAGGGAGCTCTTACTCCTAGCAGAGTTTCAGGGGCTGTACAGTCTCTTTGGAGTGGGTGTGGGGTTCACAGATGCAGTCAGTTCTCTCGCCCGAGGCAGGGTCGAGGGGCCTCAGGACTGGTCATTCTCTGGGTCCCCTTCCTTGACTCGGTCCTGTCCAGAGACAAGGCATGCTTGCACAGCCATGGTGGGGGTGGCAGGTGGCAGACTCTCGAGCCTTCGCCTTCCAGAAAGCCAGGACAACAGGAAGTAATGCCTAGTACGAGGCGTCACAGTGATCTAGAAAGGACGGAAATCTGGAGCATTCTCAGGCGTTTGGGCCCCAGTACAGAGGTTGTGCCTGGCAGGGGGAAACTCTTGTGAAGACCGTGGGGGACAGAGGCCTGGACTGTGGGGTTTGGGCATCCCAGAAGCAGCCCGCTCTCTATTCCTCCTCCCTTCATCATGTCCCCAGTTACCTGTGCACCAGGTAAACCGAATCTGCGGGTGTCCACCACAATCCGGGGAGCCTGACCTCAGCTCCAGAAGGGCTGGGGGTTGGGGTGGAAATTGAGATGTAGCATCAGGAAAGGAAGCCAGTGAGGCCAGAGGCTACACCCACTCCGTTCCAGAGTCCTGCTCTTGCAGGCCCTTCCCTTGGCGTGGTCCAGAAGACATGCCTTTGGACAGCGCCTGCTGGTGCAGACAGTGAGGGGTCTGTTCATGGGCGACCAGGTTTGGGGCTAATGGCTGCTCTAGTTTTCCCTCAGGGACCCAGGTGAATAGCGGAGATTTTCCAGGGATTTGTGAGTTGGCAGGAGCTAATGGATTCAGGTTAAAGTGATAACCTGAGGGCAGGAAGTCAGGCCCCACTCTGGGGGTAGAGGGTGCCAGTCTGGGGACCCCAGCAGGAAGTGTGATGTCTTCTAACCTTCAGGTGCATGTCCTGGCTTGCCAGCCTTCGTGGATGGCTGGCCCGTGTCTGGACCTTCATCTGTGCGGCCTCTTGCTGTCCAGGCCTCTGTGCTTGCTTCCTCTTCTGCCTTGTACTCTGAGCAGCCCTCCAGAGACCCTAGGACTCCTTTGCAGCACCCCCACAAATGCCCCCTGGTCATGCAGGGTCCTCCTACCCCATCCCCTGGGCTTTTGGGAGGAAGATAAGACCCTTTATCTGTCTCCAATCTGCCCTTGGCATGGAGTCACAAGAGGCAGACTTTGCTGTGAGGGCCCTGTGATTTTACAGTTTATTTTTATTTTTTTGTCAGTCACGGGGCTTGAACTCTAGGCCTGGGCGCTGTCCCTCAATTCTTCAGCTCAAGGTGACCACTCTGCCACTTGAGCCACAGGGTCACTTCCAGTTTTCTGTGGAGATAAGAGTCTCATGGACTTTCCTGCCCAGGCTGGCTTTGAACCGTGATCCTCAGATCTCAACCTCCTGAGGAGCTAGGATGACAGGCGTGAGCCACCAGCGCCCGGCTATTTTATGGGTTTTTAAGAATGGGTAGGAGCTAGTGAAGACAGAGCAGGCTCCTAGGACACCTGTGTTCACTCAAGGACAGGAGCAGAGCGGGCGGCTTGCTGGTGGCCTCAGCCGTACCCCCCCCCCTGCTGATTGGGGCACCTGATTGCCTTGGCCAGTCTCCTGCAAGCCACTGGAATGCTTGGGTGTCCTCTGAGCCTGCAGACAATCTGCACCTGGTCGGTGGTAGGGCAGGAATCCGATTCATTCATTAGCAAGGCCCTGGCTGGAGGAGGATGTGCCGGGTAGACAGAACCGACCGCCAAACTGAGTCGTCAGTAACTAACTGTAGTGAGGTGCGGACAGAGAGGAGCCCGCTGGACTTCCCCCTGGCTCCTCCAGCCTTGTGGGGAGCTGCCAGGATACAGCAGGCTTGCTGGGTCCAGATATGGTATGGGGAGTCTCCAGGAAAGATGGAGCAGCCTCCCCTCCCCAGGACAAGGGCCACGCGGGCAGCGGTACTGCCCGCCTCAGTGCTTCTGTTTTATGCTCCCACATTTTTCTGCCCTGAGGTGTCTCCTCCCTGGACGCTGTGGGGGGTGGCAGTTTCATGGTTGTTTTTACTTGTAATACTAACTGTTCTTTTTCTCCCCGCCCCCATGCCAAGAGCATGTGTCCCCCTCCTCCTGCTGTGGTGGCATCTGTTGGCCCCTTCCTGGCTTTTCGATGTGTACCCACTGCTGTGGTGGCTTGGGTGACCCTGTGGCGAAGGGGGCTCCTGCCTCTGGGGCTCTGTGCCTCCGTGTCACCAACCCCCAGGGGCTGCTTGCCGTGGACTGCTGTTTGGCCTACGTCCCAACACCGAGCATGCTCCTGGAGCTCAGCCTGGGTTTGGGGCTGGCTCTGAGATCCTTGCTACCAGCACCTCCATCCGTGCTGACTAAAATGCCACTGGTAGCGCTTGTTTGTTTTCCTTTTTGACTTTTTACTTTTCCTGGTGGCTCTTTGTGCATCTGATCTCCTCCACCCTCTGCACCTCCTAAAATGAACTTAAGTCCAGAACTCTGCCGAGCCCAGAGCTGTTTCCTTCTCTCCATCCCTGGGGCCTGTGGTGGCCCTGGGGCCAGGCCTGCCGAGAGAGGTGTTGGGCATGCTCGCTGTTGGGGTGGGCCCCGGGCTGGGCAGGTGGAGGGCCGCTGCTGTTTTCTCTCACTCGTTTCCTAGGTCTTCTTATCTCCTCTCTGTGTGGCTCTGGTGACAGGGACGATCCGTAAGGCTCAGAACCTTCTGAAACAGTATTCCCAGCATGGTCTAGATGGGAAAAAGGGGGGCTCTAACCTCATTCCTCTGGAAGGTAATCATCACCCCACGTTCTTCTCCGTTCCCTCCTTCTCCACTGTGTGTCCAATCACTGGGCAGGGCAGAGCCTCCCCCCAGCAGGGCCTCGGGAGCAACCGTAAGGGGGAGCAGGGTGGGACACCTGTCCCTGGTACCACTCTGGCTTCAGCAGGTCCAGGGACAGCGTTTGTGGCCCTCAGCCTGGTCCGATCTGGCTCGATGGCAGCTCTGCCCTCCCTCAGGCTCCCTCCCCCCTACCCCCGTCTCTGTCCTTGTCTCCTGTGTGAACTCAGAGAAAGTTCTTTGTCTTGGGGCAGCCCTTTCACGCTCAGATCAGCAGGGCAGGACCAAGCTGGCCACGGCCTCCTGGCCACACAACCCCCTCTAGAAAGGGGACAGCATGCGGCAAGGAGACAGGCTCCCTAGAGGCCATGTCCTCCCTTCTATCCAGAGAGGACATTTGTAGCCAGGCCAGCTGTCCTGGTGAACCTTGACACTTCCTGTAAAGAATCGCTCTGGAGAGCAAGGAAAGGTTGGCCCCATTCCTTACCCTGGGCCTGTCCCCAAACATGGCGAGGACAGGAGGGCCCCTGGGGGCGTCTCTGACATCAGACCCGCTGCGGTCCACCTGCCTTTCTGTCAGGCAAGGATGGTCCCGAGAATTCCCTGCAAGTCAAGCTTGAAAGGGCTGTTCCCACCGTGGTTTGAGGCAGCAGAGGGGCTCAGAGCCCTTCCCCAGGCCCCAGGCCCCCTCCCTCCTTCCCCATCTCACATCCCCCTTCCGGAGATCAAGGGCTTCTTCCCCACACCCCAAGGGGCAGCTGCCCAGCCCCCTGGATAAACGCTGCTTGTGTTTGTGCGGCCGACGTCTCGCTAGGTCACGAGCATGATTTCCGAGTTAAGCACCTGTCCGAGGCCCTGAACGACAAGCACGGGCCAATGGCCGGTGAGTATCGACGCCCAGCCCCAGGGCAGCTGCTGATACTCCCCGTGCAGCCGTCCGGGATGCCTCCTCCTGCTGAGCCCAGGCGGGCCCGCTCTGCTCTGAGGACCGACCAGGCCCATGGCCTGGCTCCCACTCCAGTCTCTTGGGCCTTTCTCTCTTGAGAGGGGAGCGCGTGCCTGGCTGTCAGGCCTTAGCCAGGGCAAAAGCTGGTGCTCACTGCTTGGAGGCAGGCAGGAGGGAAGGAGGCTGCTCAGAGCCCGGCCCTTCGCCACACAGGGCCAGGCTGTCCTTCGCTGGCCTGCAATAGCGGATGCGTGCTCTTCCTGGAACAGCTGACCAGCAAGGACCCCTTCCTGTCTGGAGCTCACTTAACTCTTCTCCCACTTTTGCTTCGTTTGGTCAGTTTCACTTGTTTTTGTTTTGCTTTGTTTTTTTTGAGACAGTGTCTCCTTTGTAGTGCAAGCTGGCCTTGAACTCACTGTCTTCCCGCCTCCTCCTCCTAAGTGCTGGGGTGACAGGTGTGAACCATTACAACCAGCCTCTTCTCACATTTTGACCCTGGGCCGGCCTTCTTCACGGGCATCCCAACACCCCCTCTTAACGTATTCCAGAGGCCTGGCCTGGCCTTTTGTTTAGGAATCCCCCCTCCTCCTTCTGTCCTTCTCCCACATGTCTTGTATCTGGTGCTCTGTCCTGATGCCAGGACAGAGGCTGCACTCAGCTCTTGATATCCTCCCCCCCCCCCTCCTGCCCCTCCCCAGTCAGCTGGTTGGGCCTGCCAGAGTCCTCATGGCTTCCTGACAGAACAGCCTGCCTCTTCCCAACGGCTGATGGCCTGGGCTACAGGCCAGGAGCTGGGGAGACCCATACCCCCCCTCCAGCAGGCTGAGCGGCCCCTCCCAGCCCAGCAACTCTGGGGCTCTGCTGTCCCCCCAGGGAGAGATGACATGCTGGACGTGGAGACGGATGCCTACATTCACTGCGTCAGCGCCTTTGTCAAGCTGGCCCAGAGCGAGTACCAGTTGCTGACCGACATCATTCCTGAACACCATCAGAAGAAAACCTTTGACTCCTTGATACAGGTCCCGCTCCCCCCCCCCCCAGCCCTGCACAGGGGCTCCGACCCTGTGGCCTAGCGTGGGCCAGGCTACACAGCCCTCCAGTGTCCTTCCCGCCGCCGGGGAGCCAGGCTGTCTGTTCCACTCCTCCCTGAGCTGAGCGCTTGTCCACCTCCCAGGATGCGCTGGATGGCCTGATGCTCGAGGGGGAGAACATCGTGTCTGCTGCCCGGAAGGCCATCATTCGCCATGACTTCTCCACAGTGCTCACCGTCTTCCCCATCCTGCGGCACCTGAAGCAGACCAAGCCTGAGTTCGACCAGGTGCTCCAGGTAGGTGGCCCAGGAGGGCCTGCGGAAGCGGGAAGGAGGGCCTCGGCTTCCCTGCACGGCCTCCCCGCCCCCCATCTCGGGGATAGCCCGTCCTGGGCTCCCACACCTCACTTCTGAGTGCACAGAGCGGTGGGGCCCCGGATGCTTCGGGACAGACACAAGCTGACCGAAGAAGAGGTAGTGGCTGCCTTGGGCTAGAGACGGAGGCAGCATGAGGACAGGGAAGCAGCTGGAAGAGTTAGGCTGCACGCACAGCTGCTGCCGGGGCTCTGGCCTGCGTGCGCAGCCATGTGCTTCCACAGGGCACAGCCGCCAGCACCAAGAACAAGCTGCCCAGTCTCATCACCTCCATGGAGACCATTGGCGCCAAAGCCCTGGAGGACTTTGCAGACAACATCAAGGTGCCTGCCCTCCCTTTGCTCGCCTCCCGTTTAGGTGGGTGGCCTGGCTCTGGAACCTTCAGACAGGAAGCCCTCCCTCCCTTCCTGCCTCTCTCTCTCAGCTGGAGGCTGCATCTTCCAGCAGGTGGCGCCATAAGCAGGCCGATGGCCTTGGGGTGGGCCGGAGGCTGTCAGGGAGCCCTTTCAGGCTATGCGGGCTATTTTTTCCCCAGAATGATCCAGACAAGGAATACAACATGCCCAAGGATGGCACCGTGCATGAGCTCACAAGCAACGTAAGTGCTGCCTGAGGACGCAGGGAAGGTGCGGCTCTGGGCACTGCGCTGTGTAGAGGACCTGAGCTGCCCTGGAGTCCTCACATCCATGGCTGGTTACCAGTGGCAGATGGACGAAGTGCAAAGTCTCCTGCAGACAGGGCCAGAGGGTGACCCGTGAAATCTCACCTGGGCAGACCCCTGGCCTGAGTCCCGTCCTGCTGATCAGAAGAGCTGGGAGGGGAGGCCATCAGCCTGGGCCCTGCCCCTGAACTTCCTCCCTGCTGTCTTCTCCCTGCCAGGCCATCCTTTTCCTGCAGCAGCTGCTGGATTTCCAAGAAACAGCAGGCGCCATGCTGGCCTCCCAAGGTACTTGGCACCCCCACTGCCTGTGCCCTGCCCCTCTCTCTTGCCTAGGGATAGGAGCTTAGACCCTTGACCCGCCCCCTGCCCCTGTGACCTCTACTAGGTGAGAGCAGGGCTTGGTGAGGGGTTTCCTGCATGGAGTAGGAATGAGCCATAACCTGTGGGGGCTCTGAACCCCGGGGCCACGCTGGAGAGCAAGATTTGCTGGTGCTCTCAGCCCCTCCCTTGGCCATCCTCGCTCCGGGGAGGGTGCTGCTGCCCCGAAGGTGCCCTTCCCGCCCTCCTTCCATGCTTCTCCACTGCCTCTCGTCTACCTGTACTTCTGCTTGGCCTCACAGCTGACTCTCAGTGGGCTAGCCTCTCAGGGCCTGCTGGCCACCACCCTCGGACTGGGGTTTTTTTGGGGGTGGGGGATTTGCATGCAAGAGGAGCTCTCTTGTAAGTCTTTCCAGGCCCTCCCTTCCACCTCCATTTTGGGGACAAGAAGCCAAGGGGCTGTCACTGGCCTCTTCTCCAGATGTGTGCTGTCCAGTACGTCCAGCACATCTGGAGAGGGCCGGTCCTGGTGCGCCCTGCTGTCTGGCTGTAGTGGGTAGAGAGGTTCTGCTTGACTCGAGTGACCGCAGCCATTTCTAACCTGTTTTTTTGCACTTTGCATCTTTCTCCCTCTCTGTCTCCCTCTGCCCCCCCCCTTCTGTGTGCACTGCCTTTCACTCCGTAGTTCTTGGGGACACATACAATATTCCTTTAGACCCCCGAGGTAAGCAGCATGGCTCACAGCCCCTCCTCCCCTCCGAAGCCCCTGGGGTGAAGTTCCCTGGGGATGCGCTCTCAGAACCTGCTGGGGTTCAGTGGGGGTACAAGAACTTCCGGGCCCTCTCACCTCTCCCTGCTCCCTTCACGGCCAGCTTCTGTCTCTGAGCCTATCTGGGCAGCACTGCCGAATCTAGCACCTGGATGCCCGCTCCTGGCTAGCCCCGTCCCTCCTGCTTGGCCTTCAGCTCTGCCATCAGCAGGTCTTCACCGTCTCAGAGGCCTAGAAGAGGGGGATTAAGGGAAATGGGGAGCTGGTGGAGAGGCAGGCTGGGGGCTCTGTTTTGAGACCGTTGTTGGAAAATAGGGGAAAAGGGGCCTAGTTTCCTGCCAAGGGGAGAAAAACAGGGGGGCCTGCTTGTGCCTAACCAGCTTTCCTGCCAACCTGGGTAGCCTTCATTCCATCTCCCTGTCATATAGCCCTGGGATCCAGAATGAGACCAGAGGCAGCATTTCCCAGCAGAGGGCTGGCCCTCAGCTCAGTAGGCACGCGGCTCTTCCTAAGCTCCTCCATCCTCTTCTAGCACTTTCCCTGCTGCTCCTTGGGTGGGAAAAGGCTGTCAGAGGTCTTAACCTCGGCCGCCCAGTAACAGGACTTTTCCTCTCAGAAACCAGTTCTTCAGCCACCAGCTACAGCTCCGAGTTCAGCAAGCGACTTCTGAGCACCTATATCTGTGAGTGTCTTTTGGGGAGAGCCTACTCCCTGCCTTCTCCCTCCCTTCCCTCCAGCTACTCTTGGGTCCTTCTTTCTGACCTCAGAATAGCAAACCAAGCTCCAGGGTAAGGAGCTATGGACAGGAATTGGGTAGTAAGCCCTGAGGTTGGGGCATTTGGGGGCAGAGTGCCTTGGTGGCTGCAGCCCTAACTTTTTTTTTTTTAATTTTATTTTATTTGTGAACATACTGTACAGAGGGGTTACAATTACATGGGCAGGATAATGCGTACATTTCTTACCAAGCATTGCAGCCTCCTCCTTTGTTTACCCTTCACATCCCTTCCCAGCCTCCCCCCTCCCACTTTTTTTTTTTGGCCAGTTCTCGGGGCTGGAACTCAGGGCCTGGGCTTCTTTGGCTCAAAGCTAGCGCTCTACTACTTCCAGCTTTTTCTGTGTATGTGGTACTGAGGAATCGAACTCAGAGCTTCATGCATGCTAGGCAAGCACTCTACCACTGAGCCACCTTCCCAGCCTGCAACACCATCTTTCCCTGTGCAGGTAAAGTGCTGGGCAACCTGCAGCTGAATTTGCTGAGCAAGTCCAAGGTGTATGAGGATCCAGCACTGAGCGCCATCTTCCTGCACAACAACTATAATTACATCCTCAAGTCCCTAGAGAAGTAAGTGACTGCAGGCCTAGCTGAGGTGCTTGACCATGCAGGCCTCTGCCCTCTGCAGCCTCTTCTCAATCCTCCATCCCGGGAGGGGTGAGTGCTGCTGGCTTACAGCTTGGGAAGACAAAGTGGGATGGGGGAGGGGGGCTTCCTTCCTCGTGTTGCTGCCAAGGCCAGCAGCCTCTGGGCCAATTCTCTGCTTCTCTCCTTTCTCCCCAACCTGCACCCAGGTCTGAGCTGATCCAGCTGGTGGCTGTGACCCAGAAGACCGCTGAGCGGTCCTACCGGGAGCACATTGAGCAGCAGATCCAAACCTACCAGCGCAGGTGCGCAACCGTCTACCCTGCTGTCTGGCCGCAGGGGTCTCCACTCCCTGCACACCTGGGCTACCTCCACACTCTGTGCCTGATCAGCGACTCAGCGTGTTAGGATCAGCAACTGATGTCCCATGAACCCAGTCCACAAGGCTCTGTGCTTGCTAAGTATGGGGCCTACCACTTAGCTGTACCCCTAAACCTTCTGTTTATTTATTTACTCATTGACTTGTTAATTTGAGAGAGGCTATTACCATGTAGCCCAGGCCTCAGACTCATGATCCTCCTGCCTTTGCCTCCTGAGTACTGAAATTCCAGGCATGAGCCACCACCCCCGGCTTCTTCTCTGTGTGTTTCTTTGTTTTGCTTGTGCTCGGGTTTAAACGCAGGGCCTCATGCTTGCTAGGCAGGTATTCCTCCACTGGACAATACAAGCGTCCACTTTTTTGCACTGAATATTTTGAGATAGGGTCTCTCACATTTTGCCCAGGCCTGTACCTGGACCACCCATCCTGTTTGGTGCTTCTCGCCCACAGCTGGGATGGCGGGTGTGTGTCATCACGCACAGCTTCGTTCTGTTCAGATGGCATCGAGTGAGCTTTTTTTTTTTCTAAAATGGCTTTCCACTCTTAGTCTTTCTAGTAGCTAGCCTTATGGTATGAACCTAATCTAGTTTCTTGTCTTCCATTTTTATTTATTTATTTGTTTTGTTGGTTGTGGGGCTTGAACTCTGGGCTTGGGTGCTGTCCCTGAACTCTTCAGCTCAAGGCAAGCGCTCTACCACTTGAACCACAGCGCCACTTTCCATTTTGTCGTGGTTAATTGGAGATAAGAGTCTCCCAGCTCCACTTTTATTTTTGTCACCACCAGGGTTTGGACTCCGGGCCTTGAGCTTTGCTCAGGTTGCATTTTATCCCTTGAGCCATGCCTCCAGCCTAGCTTTGGATGGTTTATTAGATCAAGTCTCTTGGATTTCTCTGTTTCTGCTGGATGCTGGTGGCTCACGTCTATAATCCTAGCTACTCAGGAAGCTGAGATCCGGCGGATCATGGTTTTAAGCCAGCTGAGGTAGGAAAGACCGTGAGACTCTTCTCTCCAACCAAAAAGCTGGAAGTGGAGCTGTGGCTTAAGTGGTAGAGCACTAGCCTTGAACAAAAACAAAAAACAAACAAAAAACTCAGAGACAGCACCCAGGCTCCAAGTTCAAGCCCCAGGACACTGTCACACACTCACTCTCTCTCTCTCTCTCTCTCTCTCACACACACACACACACACACACACATAAACACACATAAAGTCAAAGTCAACCTCAGAGATGTAGCTGCCTGAGGTGGGCCTCCCTGGCCTCACACATCTCTCTCTGGTGTCTGGCAGCTGGTTAAAGGTGACAGATTACATCTCAGAGAAGAATCTACCTGTGTTCCAGTCTGGAGTCAAGGTGAGCTGAGGATGGATGTTGAGCAGATGTGGTTCTTTGTGTTGTATCTTGCGGGAGAATGGACAAACATCCCTCTGGACAAACATTGTGTAGAGGATGGACAATGTTTGCAGCTGTGAGGACAGCAGGATCAAGGACCAAGCCCACCACCATGTGGGGGGCAGGGGCAGGGCAGAGCGGCTTCTGAGCTTTCTCTGCCTTTCCCCCCCACCCATCCCCACCTCCAGCTGCGAGACAAGGAGCGTCAAATGATCAAGGAACGTTTTAAGGTGATTCTAGATCTTCTCCCCTCTGCTTGCTTCCATGGATGGAACAACACAGACCCTGAGCTCTATCTCTTGACTCTGTTGCTTTCTTTTCTACTCATTGGCCAGGGCTTCAATGATGGCCTTGAAGAACTGTGCAAGATCCAGAAGGCCTGGGCCATTCCAGACACAGAGCAGAGAGACAAGATCCGCCAGGTCCAGAAGAATATCGTCAAGGAGACCTATGGAGCCTTTCTGCAAAGGTGAGCCCTTCCCTCTCCCAACCCTCTACCACCCACTTCCTAATGGGCTCTGCACATTCCCTCAGGGAAAGAAGGAGGGGGAGGGAGGGCTGGGCAGCACGCGCAGTGCTGTGGGCTGTGGGGCGTCACTCAGGGGCACTACCTGCCATCTCTGAGACCATGTCAGAAGTGCTTGGGTTGGGCTAGGAAGGTGGCTCAGTGGTAGAGCGCTTGCCTTGCATACATGAGGCCCTGGGTTCGATTCCTCAGCACCACATAAGCAGAATAAGTTGGAAGTGGCGCTGTGGCTCAAGTGGTAGAGCGCTTGCCTTGAGCTGAAGAGCTGAGGGACAGTGCCCAGGCCCAGAGTTCAAGCCCAACAACCGACCAAAAGAAAAAAAAAAGTGCTTGGGGTGAGGGTGATACCAACCCTCCCCTGGCCCCTGACCCCTGACCCTGGTGCCTGCCTGGTCAGGTACAACAACGTGCCCTTCACCAAGAACCCTGAGAAGTACGTCAAGTACCAAGTGGATCAGGTGGGCGACATGATCGATCGCCTTTTCGACACCTCCGCCTGAGCTCGCCAGTGTCCCCGCCTGGTTCCCCACAGTAACCCTGTCATTGGACAGATAAACCAGTGTTAACTTCCTTCTGGGCTGGGTGAGTTTGAAGTCCTTTGCATCAGAGAGCTTCCTTCACTTCCCCAATCAGGAGCTCAGTCCAGAACTCTCCCAGAATGTGGAGTCCATTCACACCTAAACACAGCCAGCAGCCAGCAGTAGGTGGCTTCTGAGACAGGAAAGAAGGAAGCCGAGGCCCAGGCTTCCACTGCCTTGTGTATACTGAGAACAAGGGCGAAGCCCCGCCCTTGACCTAGTTGAGCATGTGGGGTAGAGAACTCTTCTTCGGCTCAGAAATGTGGGTGGGGCTCAGGAGCAGATCATGTCGTCACTGACCTAAAGAAAAAGCACCTAGAACTGATGCCTATGTCTGTAATTCTAGCTACTCAAGAGGATTCAAATCTTGATTTTGTCTTTGTTTGCCATTCCTGGGGCTTGAACTCAGGGCTGGGGCACTGTCCCTAAACTTCTTTTGCTCAAGGTAAGAACTCTACCAGTTGAGGCGCTGGGGTTTTAGCCCAGTGGAAGGGCGCCCTGGGTTCGGTCCTCAGCCCTGGGAAAGAAACTAAAAAAAAGAACTCTACCAATTGAGCCACAGCACCATATTTGGCTTTTTCTGCTTATGTGGTACTGAGGAATCAAACCCAGGGCCGCATGCATGTGAGGCAAGCGCTCTACCACCAAGCCACACTCCCAGCCTATGACACTGCAATCTGAGGATTGAGGTTCTAAACTAGCCTAGGCAAGAAAGTCCGTGAGACTCTTATCTCCAATGAACCCCACCAGAAAACCAGAAGCAGAGCTGTGCCTCAACATGGTAAAGCACTAGTCTTGAGCAAAGAAGCTCAGGGACAGTGGCCAGGTCCTAAGTTCAAGCCCCACGACTGACAAAACAAAACAAAACAACAAAAAGAGTTGCCCTGCTCTCTTGGATTGGGTATGTTTTCCATAGTCTTAAGCCTCCCAAGAGATCTGTCGGTGACAGGGAATAGGTGTGCCCTGACTCCATTCCTTTCTGGGTTCAGTCCACTGCAAGAGGAGTTCTGACCCACATTCTGAGGCCAGCTGTTCAAGCACCTGCCCCTGGTCCCCGGCATGAGGACCTCCTGGCCCACGGCTAGACCACAGTAGCGGGAGGAGAAGCAGGTAGCGGGGGAAGAAAGTGGGAGGTCAGTGTATGGGGTCAGCCCCACCTACTTGTGATAATAGGGAACAGGTCTGAATTCAGGGAGGCGGGTCCTTGGGGTTGGGTCTGTCTCACCCGCCATTTGTGTGTGCATACAGAGAGGACAGCATGGGTGCTTGGAGCCCTCCAAGGAGAGAGGATAGAGCTGTGCTCCTCCTCTCTGAAGACCCAGTTCTGGCCTTCATTCCAGCTGTAGGGAGCCACACCACGTTCTAAGGCATGCGGCCATGATGGGCAACCTGAGCAGGGGCGGGTCTCACACTTCCTAAGTCCAGACTCGAGTGAAGATGAGCTTGCTGTATACCACGCTGGCCACCGCCCCGAGGATGTGGACAGCAGCCTCAGTCCAGCTCCTCCTTGACCCCTTCCCTCTTCCGGGAGTTCAAGGGGTGGAGAGACTTCTCCAAAATGCTCTTACTGAGAAGGAATCATCAGATGATACTATTCCTTTCTAGGAAAGTTTGCAGCTGGCTCACCTCAGCCACATCCAGGGGAGTGAGCATCCTCGTAGGAGAGCTCTTCAGGACCTTGTGAGCTTATTTCAGGGACCAGAGCTCACATGGGCTGTTAGGGAGGCTCGGCTGCTCCACACAGACCTGCTTCTTCCCCACTAACAGGCTGTGGGCCCAGGGCCCGGAGAGTCAATGGGAAGGCAGCTTCCAGTACACCCAGCTGGGGCTTGGGCATGCAGCCTGTCAGCTCTGCTGTGGCGCATGCTCCCCTGCCCAGACCGACCCTCACCACCTCAGAGGGGCCTTGGCCTCTGCCCACCCTCAGGGTGGGACCCTGAGTTCTCCTCACCCCCTCAACCCCCTCTTGCCCTGAGCCAGTGCTGCTCTTGTGTCCAAGGCTGCCTTGGGCCAGCAGCCTGTTCTCCACAGGTGCGGAGAAGAGCTGCAGCAGCCTGGCTTTAAAGTAAACCGCAAGTACAAGGGGGTGTCAAGACGAGACCTGGCTGGGCTGGCTCAGGTGGCAGCAGATGGCGGAGGAAAGAGATGGGCCAGGGGGCTGGGAAGGTGGCTCAGTGGTAGAGTGCTTGCCTTGCATGCTCGAGGCCCAGGGTTCGATTCCTTAGCACCACATAAGCAAAAAGAAGAAAGCTGGAAGTGGCGCTGTGGCTCAAGTGGTAGAGCGCTAGCCTTGAGCTGAAGAGCTGAGAGACAGCGCCCAGGCCCAGCATTCAGGCCCCATGAGCGGACCCAAAAAAAAAAAAAAAAGAGATGGGCCAGGTAGAGCTGTCCTGTCCCTGTGCCTCTCCCAAGTCCACAGCTCCCTCCCCTCCACCCCCTCCCCCACCAGCCAATAGCAGCAGCTCACCAGTACCCAGGCACCAGGGGGGACTGTAGAAAAGTCAGGCCTTTGCCAGGGTGTGGCGGGAGAGCGCCGCGCCTCCACTCTGTGCCTCCATCCGCCTCTGTCTTCGCTCTGTTTTGACTCACCACCTGGAAGCGGGGCACTAGATGCTACGTAAAGCATGAGCTTTCAAAGCATGAACTACGTGTTCCCTCTGTGCGTGTGCGTGCGTGCATGTGTGCGTGCGTGTGTGTGTTTTAGTACTAGGGTTTGCACTCCTGGAAGCGGGGCACTAGATGCTATGTAAAGCCTGAGCTTTCAAAGCATGAACTACGTATTCCCTCTGTGCGTGTGCGTGCGTGCGTGCGTGCGTGTGTGCGCACGTGTGTGTGACAGGTGCATGCGTGTGTGCGTGTGTGTGTGTGTTTTAGTACTAGGGTTTGCACTCAGAGCCTTGCATTCTCACTTGAGTTCTCCCCCCCACCACTCAAGGCTGGTGCTCTACTACTTGATCCATACCTATGCTTCTAGCTTTTTGCTGGTTCATTGGAGATAAGCGTCACAGACTCTTCTTGCCAAGGCTGCCTCTGAACCACAATCTTGGATCTCTCCCTCCTGAGGAGCAAGGATTACAAGTGTATGTCAATAGCACCCAGTTTCATATTCCCTCGACAGGCACAGTCTCTCACCACACGTGTCTGGACCTCCAGGGCTGGGAAAGGTGCACTAGGAAGATAACCCTGCCCCTAGATCTCTTGTGAGTAGGAACTGGAGCCCAAAGATGATTCAGATCTCCCATGGCTTCTGGGGCACCCACTTGGACCACAGGAGGACCTTTTTTCAGCATCTCAGATGGTCTCCAGCTAAAGAAAGGTCCTTATTATTCAGAGATAAGTTTGCCCTGAAAAAATAAATGCACTTTGTGTTGTTTCATAGCAGGGAAATGGGTATAGACTCTTCCTCTAACAAGCCATCACACCTGAAATACTGGAGACCATGGGGCCAGGGCGCTAGGACATCACCTGAAGGGTGTGTGGATATTCATCGGGTGGCTACCCTTTGAGGAACAAAGCTGCGGCCGCCTGAGCCTCTGGCTTGTACGTGGCCCAGCCACCACAGCTCGGCTCTGAGGCTGGACCCAGGTTCTCATCTCCTCCCCTGGGAAGTGACCAGGATCTTGTGATGGTGGAGCAGCTGTGATGATTGGAACTGTGGCCCTGGACGAGGGTAGGGAGGCTACAGCAGAGAGAACCGGAAAGGGGCTGCAGCTGGAGTAGGAGATGCAGCCTAAGCCCGAAGGTAGAAGACAGAACTTCATGTGAGATGTGTGCTGGAGGCACCATCCTGGTCTTTTCCCCAGCACTAATGGTGCTGAAGCTGCAGTTGGTCACTGTGGTCCCTGGGAAAGTGGAAGGGTATCGAGTCGCAGCTGGCCTCTGTAGTGAGGCCAGCCTAAACCCCACCCACATACATCCTGGTCTCCTGGTCCTGCGTGGGCCTTCCACGCCACTCTGAGCTGTGGGAAAGGTGCCACCAGCCCTGCCTAGTCCTGGGTTCGGCTAGAATGAGAGTACCACAGCAGTGGCAGCTAGGAGGAGGAACTCACTGAGAAGTCCCTGGGCTTGAGATGGGGAAGGGGTGTAGGGGGGTCTTGAGACAAGATCCCTGGTCTTGATCATGGCTCAGAGACAGCCTGGCAGCAAAAATATCCAGAAATGGAGGGATAGCTCGAGTGGTAAAGTAGCAACCTTGAGTTGGAAAAAGCTAAGGGACAGCACCCAGGCCCCGAGTTTAGGGCCCAGTACCAGCACACTGGAGATAGTGCAGTAAACCTAAATCACACCCGACCCCAAGATCCATCCCGGTGTCTTTCCAAGCTCCACCTGAGTCCTAAATGCTCTAGAAGGCTCCTCTCTGGCCCCTGGCTAGGGATGGGGAGCCACAGCACATGTTCCTTGACCTGGGGGCAGGGGTGGTAGGGCAGGCCTGGTCTGAGTTGGAGATGCTTGACTCGGGCATGGATTTTCCAGGAGGACCCAAGTTTCACAGTCAGGACCCAAGCCAGCAAGCTAAGAGGCAGTTCACTTCACGCAAACCATTACCAGCTGGCTACTCTGAGCTGAGTTATTAATGAACTAGAGCTCTTCAGTGAAAATGGGCACAGCAGTTTCTCTAGTAGCAGCCTGGCGTGGAGAAATGCTACTTCTGTCAGATGCAGGAGGTGCTGGAGAGCCAAATTCTTTGGCCTTAGGCCCTAGGAAGGATCTACTTGAGCCACCCCAGCGTGGTCTGTTCTTAGTACTTCGTACTTCTCCTTGTGCCCACTTGTGTCACACTGCCCCCATTCCTTTGCTTGTCTTGGTGTCCCCATCCTGAGTGTCCCTCCATCCCAGCACTAGCACAGCCAGCAGTAGTGCGTTGTCCACAGTGCCCACGAGGAAAATGAACACAAAAACAGGGGCACCAGGACTGCCTTGAGTTGCTGGCTGAGCCCGCCACTAGCCCAGCTGGCCATCCCTGCTCCCAGGCCGCCTGAGATGTTCATGTTGCATGCAGAGCCTGAGGCTTCCTGGGGCTCCAGCAGCAGCCAGTCTGGGAACCAGACTCCACTGAGCTGCAGGTGGCTAGGCTGAGCCGGGCTGTGCTGGGGCCAGGGGAAGGAAACAACAGCCAAAGGGTGCCAGACATGGGCCGGTCCCCTGCAGTGGCTCCTTGGCTCTGGCTGAAGTGACCTTGGGGCTGTAGTATCTGCTCTGGATCTCCAGCCCCGTCCCCGCTGCGTCTGGTGAACTAACTTGCCTGAAGACCCAAGAGTGGCAGAGGGTATCTCTCCTGCAGGAGTACCTGGTCCTGTTGCTGGCGCCTGAAAGGAGCATCCTGAGATGCTGGGCCGCAGCCTGGCTGTGCACCATGGTCTTCCCAGAGCCAGCGGGAGATACCTGCAGAGTTCTGGGGAAGGGGGCGGGTGTTGATGCCGGCTTTCCCCAAAGCTGGCAAGTGGGACTGCTGGTCAGTGCTCCAAGTCTCTGCTTGCTTCTAGTTGCCTGAATGGCATGTTTCACAGGAATCCCAGATAACAGCTGTGTGAAGGAAGACATTTCCTTTTTCCTCCTTTCTCTTTCCTTCCTTTTTCTTTGTGGGTTGTGGAGCTTGAACTCTGGGCCTGGGTGCTGTCTCTCACTCAGCTCTTCAGCTCAGGGCAAGCGCTTTACCATTTGAGCCACAGCGCCACTTCCAGTTTTCTGGTGGCTAATTGAAGATAAGAGTCTCATGGACCTTCCTTGCCTGGGCTGGCTTTGAACTGCAATCCTCAGATCTCAGCCTCTTGGGTAGTTAGGATTATAAGTGTAAGCCACCAGCGCTTAGCTTCTTTTTCTTTCTTCTTTTGACAAGTTTTGCTATGTAGCCCAGGCTGGAGTCACCATCTTCCTGCCTCCACTCTATGAGTGTTGGGATTATAGACACACACTAAAACATAAGCCAGAAAATATGCATCTGAATAACGACGTTAGTGTCTTCTCCTTACTTTTACTGTCTCTCCTTAATTACATCTAGTAAGTAGGCCAGTTGACAGTTGCTTATGCCTGTATCCTACTACTTAGGAAGCCAGGATCCAAGAATCAGTTTGAAGCCAGCCCAGGCAGCAAAGGCCATTAGGCTCTTATCTCCAATTAACTCCAAAAAACAGGAAGTAGAAGTGTGTTTCAAGTGGTAGAACACCAGCTGTTAGTGAAAGAGCCAAGCAAGAGTTCAAGACCCTGATTTTAAGCCCCAGTACTGGTGCACATGCATGCACACACGCGTGCGTGTAAACACACACACTCCAGTGAATATTGCTTCTCAGGGAGTGGCAAGTATGAAGCCCAAATCCAGTTCATTAAATCTGAATCAAATCTTTTTCTCTCTGCCCCATTCAGATTTCACACCACATACACACACACACACACAAGGAAATCCTTTCAGAGAATTCAAAACAGCAAAATTTCATGCACCTGCACATTTTTTTCTGGATGGTGCTTAGGTTAAAATAGGTGTTAAATAGTTGTTTCAGGATCAGTCATTTGTGTGGTTGAATTATTGCTATTTTTGTTATTGTATAGGACTTCACCCTCCAGTTCCTGGAGTCGGGAAATCACCATCTTTTATTGCTGCAATGTAAATTCTGCTTCAGCTTCTCATGTCCTGTTTGGGTCCAAGTGTGTGTGTTTGTGTGTGGAGCTGAAGAACTGAGGGACAGCGCCCAGGCCCAGAGTTCAAGCCCCACAACCGAATCCCCCCCCCAAAAAAAAATTACAGGCTAGAGGCTTACTTCAAAAGGTTTGCTACAATTTTGCTGAGGTAAGGCAAGCTCAGAGACACAAACAGTGCATATTTTCTGTTATATGTGGAAGCTAGACCTAAAATACACTGCAACATGATAAATTATACAAGACTGTGGGCATTCACAGTGAGACCAAAGGAGGACACCCAGGAGAGGAACACAAGCTGGGCACCGGTGGCACAAGCTGGGCACCGGTGGCACAAGCTGGGCACCAGTGGCACAAGCTGGGCATCAGTGGCTCATGCCTGTAATCCTAGCTACTCAGGAGGCTGACATCTAAGGATCGTGGTTCAAAGCCAGCCTGGGCAGGAAAGTCCGTGAGACTCTTATCTCCAATAAACCACTTGAAAACCAGAACTGGCACTGTGGCTCAAGTGGTAGAGTGCTTGCCTTGAGCTGAAGAGCTGAGGGACAGAACCCAAGCCCAGAGTTCAAGCCCCATGACCGACAGAAAAAAAAAAAAAGGAGGGGGACACAAAAGTACAATGCTTATGTGCATCTGATTACATAAAACATTTACCAAGATGAATTCCAGGAAATGGAAACGAGTTGTTTTTTTTTTCTTTGTTTTTTCCTCTCTTCTTTTTGACTTTGTCCCTTTATCTGATTAGGGAGGGCACCTCCACCCTCCACCCCCCAGAAATGGAGGGACAAAGGGTGAACAAATACAGCAGTGGTATTCACTAGATACTATGTTGAAAATGAGCTACACAACTTGTGGGTGGGGGCAGGAGAGAAACACTGAGGGGGGGGGGGGAAAGTGAGGGGAAAGAGTGGCCTTGTCCAAAAAAGAATTGTACTCTGCAACAGTTCAGGGACAGTGCCCAGGCCCGGCGTTCAAGCCCCATGACTGACTAAAATAAATAAGACTAAAAAGACACGTACTCTTTACCTGACTTATGTAAGCGTAACCCCTCTGTACATCACCTTTATAAGAACAACAGCAATTAAATAAAAATGCCAAATTTGTTTTACCAGCTATCATTTACATCCCAAGCTGGCCTCGAACTCGTGATCCTCCTGCCTCCGCCTTCTTAGTGAGGGGATGCCCCCCCGATGTGCGGGACCAGGGCTGATTCCTGGTGCCGGGATGCAGGAGGCGGACGTCCAGCTCCAAGTTCTCACGACCCGGATGGACAGCCTCGCCGGCTACGGACCAGGCGACCTAAATGCGCACGCGCGCTCCGACAAATGGGTACAGGCTGCAGAACGGCGCGGTCAGCCGCCCAGTCCTCCCAAATCCCATCAGCCCCTGCTGGAAGGTCCCGCTCTCTCCCTCCACTGGCCCTCTCGCCTTTTCTTTCCCGTCCTGCTCTGCGGCACAGGGGCAAGATGGCGGCTGAGAAGCAAGTCCCGGGTGGCGGCGGCGGCGGTGGCGGCGGCGGCGGCGGCAGTGGCGGCGCCGGTGGCGGCGGAAGTGGCGGTGGACGCGGAGGAGAGGAAAATAAGGAGAACGAACGCCCTTCGGCCGGATCGAAGGCAAACAAGGAGTTCGGAGACAGCCTGAGTTTGGAGAGTATCCTGGAGTCTCGGCCTGGGTCGCAGTGACGACGTGTCGCTCGGGCGGGCGGGCCGGCGCGGCTCCCCGCGGGCGCGCTGTCTCCTGCCCTTCGCTTTGGGCCCTCGGAGGCCGGGTGTCCGTCTCTGGGCCGGCGGGGGGGGGGGTCGCCCGCCGCCTCTTCCAGGCGGCGCTGCGCAGGTGCTGGGCAGGTGCCTGCGGCCACCCCACGGTTCCCCGGTGGGTCCAGTCGGAGGGCTGGGGCTGGGCCTGACCTCGCGCCCACCCCGCTCAGCTCCCAACTGGGCTGGGGAAACTGTCGTCTTGGGGTTGGTTTGTTTTTTTGTTGGTTTGTTTTGTTTCGTTTTTTGGCTTTTTGAGAGTCTCGCCCGACAGCTGTCATAGACTTGGCCTTGTTTGTTTAATAATAAAAAAAAAATCACCGCTTGGTGCTTAGGAAGTAGAGGTGAAGGTTGGCTGCTGCGAGGGAAAGTGCTGGCCCGGTCCCGTCAAGTTTCTGGCCTGTTCATATGGGGTGGCGTTTTCATTTGAACAGGGGGTCTGTTGGCATTTTTTGTCTTGGAGTCATCACAGGCATTTTTTGTCTTGGAGTCATCACAAGACCCACGAGGGAATTGGTTTCCAGTTTTCCTTAGTGTGGATGTCAGTTGTATGCGTATTTCACTAGTTTCCTGAGCTTTTTTTCTTTCCTTTTCTTTTGGTTAGTTTTTGTTGTTGTTTCCTGAGACAAGATCTAATCATGTAGCCCACCCTGGCCTTCCGGTGTAATCCTCCTGCCCCTACTTCCTGAGTGCCTGCGCTGCTGCTACTACTTCCGTCTAGTTTATACCTTTAAAAAAATGTTTATTTTGGTAAATGGACTTGAAAATTCTGTGCTTCTGCTCTGTCTCCTGGCTTTCTTTCTTTCTTTTCTTTCTTTCTTTTTTTTTCTCCCAAGGCTGATGTCTACCACTTGAGCCACAATTCCACTTCTGGCATTTTAGTGGTTAATTGACGATAGGAGTCTCTTGTATTTGACTGTCTAGGCTGGCTTTGAACCTCAGTCCTCAAATCTCAACCTCCTGAATCAGTAGGATTATAGAATGTTAGCTGACATTGAACCCCATCTCCTCCTATTTTCCCCCTCGGAACTGTGGGTTAAACTCAGTCTTTAACACTCAAGCCATGACCCTAGCCCTATTTGCAGTGATGGGTTTTTTTTTTTCAGGACTGTGGCTTAAACTCAGGACTTTGTGCTTACTCAGCTGCCACTTTACCACGTTGGTCCCTTTGGTGATTATTTTGGAGATGGAGTCTCATGGATTTTTGGAATCTTGATCCTTAGGACCTCAGCCTCCTGAATAGTCAGGATTATAGATGTGAGCCAGTGGTGCCTAGCTTTTTTTTTTTTTGGTCGTGGGGCTTGAACTCTGGGCCTTGGCGCTGTCCCTCAGCTCTTCAGCTCAAGGCGAGCACTCTACCACTTGAGCCACAGCGCCACTTCCGGTTTTCTGGTGGTTTATTGGAGATAGGAGTCTCATGGTCTCTCCTGCCTGGGCTGGCTTTGAACCTCGCCCGATCCTCAGATCTCAGCCTCCTGAGTAGCTAGGATTACAGGCGTGAGCCACCAGCGCCCGGCCCTAGCTTTGTTTTTAAGATTGGGTCTCACATTTGTTCTCGGCCTGACCTGAAAGGACTGTGGTCCTTTCATTTCCTCTTCCTGAGTAACTGAAATGATAGCTCTGTACCACAATACCCAGCTTTGATTGTTTGAGAAGGTGTCTCTTGAACCTTTTGTTCCAGCCACAGTCTTCCTGATCTCTGCCTCTAAAGTAGTTAGGATTTCAGACATGCGCCTGCCTAAAACTTCTAACATTTTTATGGTAACTGCAGCCTATTTTTGTTGATATGTGCTAATGAGATTCCCTGGAAGCATTGCAGCTGTTAAGGAAAGTGAGATTTAGTAAGAGAAGTTTAGGAGATGTTACTTCTAATCTGAATCTGTGTGAATAATAAAATGGGTAATACAAGTAGAAATGGATAGGGACTGGGAAGTTGGCTCAGTGGCAGAGCGCTTGCCTTGCATGCCTGAGGCCCTGGGTTCGATTCCTCAGCACCACATAAGCAAAAAGAAAAAAGCTGAAGTGGCGCTGTGGCTCAAGTGGTAGAGCGCTAGCTTTGAGCTGAAGAGCTGAGGGACAGCGCTCAGGCCCAGAGTTCAGGCCCCACGATGGGACCCAAAAAAAACCCAAAAACAAGTAGAAATGGATGGAAGCCACTATAGTTACAGCCAGCATTTAGTATCTGCCTTTTTTTTCTTTTGTCATTCATGGGGCTTGAACTCTGGGCCTGGGCACTGTCCCTCAGCTCTTCAGCTTAAGGCGAGTGCTCTACCACTTGAGCCACAGTGCCACTTCCAGTTTTCTGGTGGTTCACTGGAGATAAGAGTCTCACAGGCTTTCCTGTCTGGGCTGGCTTTGAACCATGATCCTCAGATCTCAGCCTCCTGAGTAGCTAGGATTACAGCTGTGAGCCACTAGCTCCCAGCTCTCTGCCTTTAAAAACAAAAATAACAACAACAAAAAACTCCTGGGGTTCAGCAATTCCCCAGTGGCAATAACTTCCCTTTTAAGTTTGATCATATTAACAGGTTGAGGAATTAGCTTTTCTGTAAACTTAGTCTTATATTATGACAAGATACTATTTAAAATGGGTACAAATATTTCACAAATGTTTAAAGTGCTGAGGTTTATCACAAATACAGACTTAACAGTACAGGTTTTGATTTATTCAGGTTCTTGCCATTATAAAGCTTTTCCTTAATCTTGGCTCTAGTTCTTCAGATTATTAAGGAATCCCAGCAGCAGCATGGCTTACGGCATGGAGACTTTCAGAGGTACAGGTTAGTATCATGGATACCATCCATGAAGGTCATGGTGGGATTTTCACACTAGGTTTACTTTGCTAAAACCCTCTTTGTTCTGTTGTATCTGGCCCGTGCAGATTGAGCGAGATGGGCGTAGTCTGAGATTAAGTGGGAAGAGCAGGCAGACCAGGATATATAGGGCTCAGCAGGCCAGGGTAACGAGTTCAGGTGCTGGAGCATGTCATGGAAAGCCATGAGAGTGTTAAGCAGGCCATTCCTATGCTGGCTTTTCAGTTATTAAGGAAATTGTCAGACACAAATGTAGAGATGACAGTTCAGTGAAGCTCATAAATCCAGTCATCATAACACTCAACTTTCTAGTTCCTCCGTTATTTTTTTTTCTTTAAATTTTTTTGTCAGTCGTGGGGCCTGAACTCTGGGCTTGGGCGCTGTCCTTCAGCTCAAGGCTAATGCTCTACCACTTGAGCCACACCGCCACTTCCAGCTTTTTCTGCTTATGTGGTGCTGAGGGCCCCAGGTATGCAAAGCAAGCACTCTACTGCTGAGCCACCTTCCTACCGCCCCACCGTGTGTGTGTATGTGTGTGTGTGTGTGTGTGTGTGTGTTGATGATGGGGCTTGAACTCAGGGCCTCACATTCTCAGTTGGCATTTTTTTTGCTCAAAGCAAAACAACAACAACAAAAAAAACAGTGGATTAATCCAACAATGCTGAGAATTGGTATGCTCATGTCTGTAATCCTAGCTGTGCAGGAGGCTGAGATTTGAGGATCTAAGTTTGAAGCCAGCCTGGACAGAAAAGCTTGTGAAACTCTTCTCTCCAATTAACCACCAAAATGCCAGAAATGGAGTTGTGATTCAGTGTTAGTACTAGCCTTGAGCAGAAAAGCTCAGGTACAGATCCCAAGCCCTGAGCTTAACCACCAGGACAGTACGAAATAATAGTAATAATAATAAAAGGAAGAACATAAGGAAAAAAACAAATGGAAGAAGATGTGTGGCTCAAGTAGTAGAAAGCAAGTACTCAGCTCCTTTTTCCATGTTTTGGCATCAAAAGTTGAACTGCACTCTAGAGTCCTGTCTATTATAAATCTGGTAGCTAACTCTTTGGGCAAAGATTTCTAGTAATTCATTCCTTGTTTACTGTAAAAATAATATTTTTTTGGCAGTACAGGGCTTGAATTCAGGTCCTCTGCTTGCTAGGCAGCATGCCCCCAACCATTTTTTGCCTTGTTTGTTTGTTTGTGTCACTCCTGAGGTTTGAACTCTGGATCTGGGTGTTGTCCTTTGCTTCTTTGGCTCAAGGCTATAGCCCTACAACTTGAGCTGAAGCTTCCAGGGTTTTTGGGAAGTTAACTGGAAATAAGAGTCTCACTGGGGCTGGGAAGATGGCTCAGTGGTAGAGTGCTTGCCTTGTATGCATGAGGCCCTGGGTTTGATTCCTCAGTACCACATACGCAGAAAAAGCTGGAAGTAGCACTGTGGCTCAAGTGATAGAGCACTAGCCTTGAGCTGAATTGCTGAGGGACAGCGCCCAGGCCCAGTATTTAGGCCCCATGACCAACCAAAAAAAAAAAAAACTGACTTTCCTGCCCAGGCTGGTGTTGAACTGCAATCTGCTGATCTTCGCTCTTGACTATCTAGTATTATAATACTATGTGTGGGCCACTGGCACCCAGCCTTTGCCTCCCATGCTTTAATTTTCAATAAATGTTCGCCAGTTATGTCACATAGAGTCCTGCAACCTCTGACCTTCATACAATCTCCTACCTGCGCTACTCTAGTAGCTTGTCTGACTGGGTTTTGTTTGTATTTTATTGCAGGGGCTACTGTTCCCGCAGGCAAAGACGTCTCCGGAAAACACTCAACTTTAAAATGGGGAACAGACACAAATTCACAGGGAAAAAAGTAACTGAAGATCTTCTGACTGATAATAGGTATTAACTGCTCAGTGCATTGAGCCAAGTCCATCTTGCTAGCACATTTATTGAACAGCTAGAGTGAGCAGGACATTATGTCAAACTTACCCCATGTGACTGTCTTAGCAGCTCTATGGGTGAGTGCTTTTTACTTTTCCTGTGTTATAGAGGCTCAGGAGGTTCACTACCTTCTTCGAGAACTGTGTTGGGATAGTAAATGCTAAAAGTTAGTGACTGGCTAGGCACCAGTGGCTCATGCCTGGAATCCTAGCTACTCAGGAGGCTGAGATCTGAGGATTGCGGTTTGGAGCCAGCAAGTCAGGAAAGTCCATGAGACTCTCATCTCCAATGAACCACTCAAAAACGGGAAATGGCTATGTGGCTCAAAGTGGTAGAGCGCTCGCCTGGAGTGGAAAAGCTCAGCGACAGCACCCAGGCCCTAAGTTAAAGCCCTACAATGGACAAAAAACCAAAATTAGTGACTGGAGTCTAACTAGTTACTAGGTAAAGTAAATGTAAATTTCAGTGTCTGTTTACAGTGAAATCTGGTTTTCTGTAAATTATTACAGAAGTATTTAAGGGTTCATTTTATTTTCTGCTGAATATTCTAGTTCTTAACATTTGCTGAAGGTTTATCTTCAGTTTGGACCAGATTGTCTTCCTGTCACCTACTTGTTTTAATTTTCTTTTCAGTTGTGGGGCTTGAACTTGTCCTGCGCACTGTCTCTGAGTCTCTTTGTGCACAAGACTGGTACTCTACTACTTGAGCCATAGCACCGCTCCTGACTTTTACTGAGTAGTTCATTGGAGATAGAAGTCTCACAGACTTTCTTGCCCTGTCTGGCTTCTAATAATGATCTTCAGATCTCAGCCTCTTGAAGAGCTAAGATTACAGGTGTGAGCCACCAGCTTCCAGCTACCTTCTTGCATAAGTAAAGATTTTATTGGGGCCTAGGAATGTGGCTTAGTGGTAATGTGCTTGCATACTATGCATGAAGCCCTGGGTTTGATTCCTCAGTACCACATACACAGAAAAAGCCAGAAGTAGCGCTGTGGCTCAAGTGGTAGAGCACTCAGCCTTGAGTTCAAAGAGGCTCAGTGTCCAGGTCCTGAGTTCAAGCTCCAGGACCGGCTCCCCCCCCCCAAAATTTATTGGGACAGAGCCATCCATGCCCATTCATTTAATTTTTGTTTATAGGTACTTTTGGGTTAAAATAGCAGAGTGGTTATGACAGACTGTGACCGCCTACAAAGCCCAAAATTCTTTCTTGTTTTGTTTTGCTTTAATACTAGGGCTTGAACTCAGGACCCAGGCTTTCTCCCTTAGTTTTTTTCACTCAAGACTGGTACTCTACTACTTGAGCCACAGCTTCACTTCTGGCTTTTTTATGGTTAACTGGAGATAAGAGCCTCACAGACTTTTCAGCCTGGACTGGCTTTGAACTGAGATCCCCAGATTTCAGCCTCTTTAGTAGCTAGAATTACAAATGTAAGCCACCAGCACCCCATCTTAAAACCGTGCAACATTGCATCTTCATCTGTGTTTCCTTCCCTCCCTTCCTCTTTCCTTCTTTCTAGAAGCAAAGTCTTGCTAAATAGCCCAAATTGATCTTGAACTGTTTCTTTTTTCTTTGTCAGTCATGAGGCTTGAACTCTGGGCCTCAGCACTGTCCCTCAGCTCTTCAGCTCAAGGTGAGCACTCTACCACTTGAGCCACAATGCCATTTCCAGTTTTTTGGTGGTTTATTGAAGAGTCTCACGGATGTTCCTTCCTGGACTGGCTTTGACGTAATCCTCAGATTTCAGCCTCCTGAGTAGCTAAGATTACAGGCGTGAGCCACTGGTGCCTGGCAAAATCCTGTTTCATGGTGAGGCACTGATGGCTTACACTTGTAATCCTAGGTACTCAGAAGGCTGAGATCTGAGGATCACAGTTAAAAGAAGCTTGGATGGCAAGTATATAAAGACTCTTATCTCCAATTAGCTACCAAAAAAAGCTAGAAATGGAATTGTATCTCTAAAGTGGTAGTGCACTAATCTTGAGCACAAAAGCTCAGGGACAGTGCCCAGACCCTGAGTTCAAGCCCCAGACTGGCACAAAATAAAAACAAAATCTTCCTGCTTCCATATCCTGAGTGCTAGGATTACAGGCATGAGCTACCATGCCTCGCATGGTAGAGGCTTTTTCAACATGTCCAGTAGATAACTGAGGTGGAACGAGGTTGGGATAGGAGATGCTGGTTTGTGACTAGTACTGAGAAGGGGGACCCTGGAGGGAAGGGATGGTGGAGAAAAAAGCCAAGAGGCAGGAGATTGTGTTTTAGAGAATGCACAGGGGTCTAATGCTCCTGGTCCTTGTTGTTCAGTCTCCTATCTCTGTCTTGTCTAGATATTTGCTGCTGGTCCTGATGGATGCTGAAAGAGCCTGGAGCTATGCCATGCAGCTCAAACAGGAAGCCAACACTGAACCTCGGAAACGGTTTCACTTGCTCTCTCGACTTCGTAAAGCCGTGAAGCATGCAGAAGAATTAGAACGCTTGTGTGAGAGCAATCGTGTGGATGCCAAGACCAAGTTAGAGGCTCAGGTTAATGTCTTCACATCTAGCTTTGCCTTGTTATGCAAATTAGAGGTCTGACTTTAAAAATTTAAACAGAGCTATAGTTAAACAGAAGAGCTTCTTTCACTGTTAATTGATAGTGAAAGAGGAAAAACTTTCTGTTGTTTTTTCTTATTTTCCCAGTGTTGGGAATGGAACCCAGGGCCTCTTTTTTGTTATTGTTTTGTTTTTGTCAGTTGTGGGACCTGAACTCTGGGCCTGGGCGCTGTCCCTCAGCTCTTCAGCTCAAGGCGAGCACTCTACCACTTGAGCTACCACGCCACTTCTGGCTTTTTCTGCTTATGTGGTGCTGAGGAATTGAACCCAAGGCCTCATTCATGCAAGGCAAGCACTCTACCACTGAGCCACCTTCCCTCCCCTCCCATACCCCAGGGCCTCTCATGCTAAGCAAGTGCTTTGCTACTGAGCTTACCCCAGCCCTGATGCCGCTTTTAAAAGGAGAAATGAAGAACTGGGCACTGGTGGCTCACGCTTGTAATCCTAGCTACTCAGGAGGCTGAGATATGAGGATCTCGGTTCAAAGCCAGCCCAGGCAGGAAAGTCTGTGAGACTCTTAACTCCAATTAACCACCAGAAAACTAGAAGTGGTGATGTGACTCAAGTGATAGAGCTCCAACTTGTAGCAAAAGAGTTCAAGGACAGCTCCCAGGTCATGACTTCAAGCCCCAAGACTGGGGGAAGAAAAAAAGTTGAATACACCTGGACATGGTGGTAATGCTGATAATCTCAACTGAAATAGAGGTTTTTTTTTTTGATTTGTTGTTGTTTCTTGAGATACGGTTTCTTGTAGCTCATGCTGGCCTTGAACTCACTATGTACCCCATGCTGGCTGTGGACTTTGATATCTACCTCTGCCCTGCCTCCCAAATATGTCTGCACACTTGCTTTTTTCTGTTTTTCTTTTCAGTTCTGAGGGTTATACTCAGAGCCTAGGGCTTTCTGGGCAGGTATTCTTAACACTGAACCACGTTATCTCTGGCTTAGTACTCATTTTTGTGCCTTCACTACGCCTAACTCAGGGCCTGGGTACCTAGAACTACAGCTCCATTCCCAGATTTTTGGTAACTTCCCTGCTGGCTTCCAAGCTGCCTTTGAACTGCTATCTTCAGGTCTCGGCTTCTTCTTCTTTTTTTTTTTTTTTGGTCGGTCATGGGACTTGAGCTCTGGGCCTGAGTGCTGTCCCTCAGTTCTTCAGCTCAAGGTGAGAACGCTACCACTTGAGCCATAGCACCACTTCCCATTTTCTGGTGCTTTTCTCCTGCCTGGGCTGGCTTTGAACCGAGATCCTCAGATCTCAGCCTCCTGAGTAGCTAGGATTGCAGGCCTGAGCCACCAGTGTCTGGCTTACCTTTGCGCTCTCGCTGACTGAGTCAAGTACCTTAGAGGAAGATGATGCTAGAGCTCTGGTTGTTGTCATTCCGCGATCTTTTTCAGGCTTACACAGCTTACCTCTCAGGAATGCTGCGCTTTGAACATCAAGAATGGAAAGCTGCCATTGAAGCTTTTAACAAATGCAAGTAAGTCCTCTTGTTCAGGGGCCGTGGCCATTTTCATTCTAGGTAGGCACATTTATGCTGTAGGCTCTTAGTAGCTTATTTGCTTATGAGTATATTTCTTATATCCCCCTCTAGAAATGTTGATTATTCATTTTTATCCTTAGAACACGCCATTCTGACTGTTGATACCAGAGTTTTGGAGGGCTGGATTTGTTGTCACTTTTTTTGTTGTGGGGCTTGAACTCAAGGCCTCAGCACCGTCCTTAAGCTCTTTTGCTCAAGGCTAGTGCTCTACCACTTAGAGTCACAATGCCACTTCCAGTTTTTGAGTGATTAATTTAAGAGTCTCATGAAGACTTTTCTTCCAGGCTGGCTTTGAACTGCCATCCTCAGATCTCAGCCTTCTGAGTAGCTAGGATTACAGGCGTGGTCTACCAGCATCTGACAACACATAGTTCTTGTGAATGAATTTTTTTGGAGGTGGGGAGTTGGTCATGGGGCTTGAACTCAGGGTGTGAGTGCTGTCCCTGAGCTCTTTTGCTCAAAGTGCTCTACCACTTTGAGCCACAGCTCTGCTGCCGTATTTGAAAGATTAATTGGGGATCAGTCTTAATTGGAGATAAGAGATAAGAAGTTGAAATCTGAAGATTGTGGTTCAAAGCCAGCCTGGGCAGGTTAAGTCTGTGAGAATCTTCCAATTAACTACCAGAAAACCAGAAGTAGCACTATGGCTCAAAGTGGTAGAGTGCTAGCACTGAGTGCAAAAGCTCAGGGACAGCTCCCAGGCCCTGAGTTCAAGCCCCACAACCCACCAAATAGAGTCTCACTAGGACTTTTCTGCCTGGGTTGGCTTCGAACCGTATCCTCAGATCTCAGTCTCCTCTGGGATTATAGGCGTGAGCCACTAGCACCTGGCTGTGTTTTCTTAAAATAAGACGACTGTAAAGGCTGCCCTCTGTTTGTTCACAGGACCATCTATGAGAAGCTGGCCAGTGCTTTCACAGAGGAACAGGCTGTGCTCTATAACCAGCGCGTGGAGGAAATCTCGCCCAACATCCGCTACTGTGCATATAATATTGGTGAGCAGGCACTGACAGCTGGCCTCTGTTGAAGTCCATGTCAGAGCCTGCAGGGGTCACTGTTTTCCCCCCCGCCTTTGCTCCATCCATAGCTGAACTTTTCATGGATGAGAGCTTAGAGCTTTCTAAGTCAGCCAGCTTAGTTTGGCACAAGATGGCAGCTTGGCTTCTGTCTCCATCTTACCCTCTGCTCCACTCCTGAGGAGCAGTCTTGAGTGTCCACTGGAGGCCATTGATGTTTTTACTAGCTTAAGTCCACAACCAAACTAAGACAATGATAATTTCATGTATACCTTGTTCCTACACATGCATAGTCTCTTCATTATCTTCATGCCCCCATGAGATTGGCACATTTATTACAACCGATGATTCCCCATTAACAGATCCTAATTTCTCAGAATCAACAGTTTACATTAGCATTCACTTTTGGCCTTGAAGACTCTTGTTTTTGGATAAAGATATAATGATGCGCATCTTCCATACAGAGTATTTGCTCTGCTCCTCCACATTTGTTCTTTGTGAAAAGACTTGTCTCAGAGTACACCGGATAGACCAAGCCTCAGATGCAAAGAAGTGTGCTTGTGGAGGGAAGGGCTCCCGAGCTGGAGAGGAGTCTACTGATGCGCTCTCTCTCTCTCTCTCTCTCTCTCTCTCTCTCCCTCTCCTTCCCTTTCTCCCCTCTCCCCCCCCCTCAGGGGACCAGTCGGCTATCAATGAACTCATGCAGATGAGATTGAGATCTGGGGGTACTGAGGGTCTCCTTGCTGAAAAACTAGAGGTAATCTTATATGTACATTTTTGTGGAAGCTTTGACTTGAAAGAGTTCAGTCTATCCACAGGGGATAATTTACTATTAATATATGCATTTCTCTTTTTTTTTTTTTTTTGTCTCTTTCTTTTTTTTTTTTCTTGCCAGTCCTGGGGCTTGAACCCAGACCCTAGGCAATGTCCCTGAGCTGCTTTTGCTAAATGCTAGCATCCTACCACTTGAGCCATAGTACTTCTAACTTTTTCTGCTTATGTGGTACTGAGGAATTAAATCCAGGGCTTCATGCATGCTAGGCAAGCACTCTATTACTAAGCCGCATTCCCAGCCTAATATATTTTATTTCTAACATGTATAATATATGTAATATATATTTATTTTAAACTTTCATAACTGGGGTTTGGACTTAGAGCCTTGCACTTGCTAGGCAGCTAGGCACTCTATAATTGCAGCTCTTTTATGGTTTATTTTTTAGGTGGGGTATTTTGGGGTACTTTGATCCTAGCCTTAGGCAAAATCTTTCCACCAATTCTTATCTGTAGTTGTGATTTGTGTGTGTGTGTGTGCGCGCGCGCACACACGCCTAGGTTCACTGGACACTGTCCCTGAGCTTTATTGCTTAAGGCTTGTGCTCTGCCACTTGAACCACAGGTCTACTTTGTCTTTCTGGAAGTAAGAATCTCACAGATTTAGTTGTCTAAGCTGACTTTGAACTGTGATCCTCAAATTTCAGCCTCCTGAGTAGTAGCTAGGATTACAGATATGAGCCATTAGCACCTGGCCCAGCTTCTTTTTTTTTTTTGTCAGTTGTGGGGCCTGAACTCTGGGCCTGGGCGCTGTCCCTCAGCTCTTCAGCTCAAGGGTAGCGCTCTACCACTTGAGCCACAGCGCCACTTCCGGCTTTTTCTGCTTTTGTGGTGCTGAGGAATCAAACCCAGGGCCTCATGCAGGCAAGGCAAGCGCTCTACCACTGAGCCACCTTCCCAGCCCCTGGCCCAGCTTCTTTTGTGCGACGGCTGCTCATTAAATTTTTGCCCAGAATGGCCTCTAATCATAAGCTTTACCATCTCCACCTCCTGTTTAGTTGGGATTACAGTTGTGAGCCACTGTTCCCAGCCATATGTCTAGTTTTGTTTATTTGTATTTGCTTTGTTTGCTGATACTGGGGTTTGGACTTCAAACCTTACACTTAGCTGGGCTGGTGCTTTACCACTTGTACCTTTTTTTTTTTAATTAGCATATGTTGTACAATGGGGTTTTTGCACATTTGTCCTAATCAAAATGTATGTCTGAGGCTGGGAAGGTGGCTCCATTAAAGATGGCAATAATTTTCTGGCAGGGAGCACCAACTTCCTTACTCATTTCTCAGTATGTTACCAAACTGATCTCTGATCTTCGTAAATTGGCTAGGTGTAGCAGTCCTGCTTTTTGCTGGTTATTTTGGAGATAGTGTCTCTTGGATTTTTTTTCCTCTATATCTCAGCTGCCTAAGTAGCGAGGACTATGGACATGAACCACTGGTGCCCAGCATATATTTTTAACAAAGTACATTTTGACTTACTATTTTTAAGTATTTAGAAAAAGTAGGTAGATTAGATGTAGGTAGGCCAGAGGGATTGGCACACACCTGTGATCTCACTGCTCTGGAGGCAAGGGGAAGAGGACACTGAGTTTAAGCTAGCCTAGCAAAATTAGCTTGATATAGACAGAAGAGCTGAGGATACATGGCTCAAGTAGTACAATGCTTGCCTACCAAGTTTGAGACTCTGGGTTTAATCCCTAGTACAGAAAAAAAAGGAAAGGCTGGGGGGGCTGGTGGCTTAGGCCTGTAATCCCAGCTTCTTGGTTGGCTGAGATCTTAAGATCTCGGTTCAAGAAGCCTGGGCAGAAAAGATGGTGAGACTCTTCATTTAACTACAAAATGCTGGAAGTGGAGTTTGAGCTCAGTAGTAGAGCTCTAACCTTAAGCAAAAAAGCTCAGGGACAGCACTCAGGCCCCAAGTTTTTTTTTTTTTTTGTCGGTCGTGGGGCTTGAACTCTGGGCCTGGGCGCTGGTTATAGAAATAGATAAACTGTCATACATGTCTCCAATTGAAGTTTTAACTTTTAAACTACTTTTCAGGCCTTAATCACTCAGACTCGAGCTAAGCAGGCAGCTACCATGAGCGAAGTGGAATGGAGAGGGAGAACAGTCCCAGTGAAGATCGACAAAGTGAGGATCTTTTTATTGGGACTGGCTGACAACGAAGCAGCCGTCGCCCAGGTGAGGAGGAAGGACCTATCCGGTTTTCTTTTGTCCTTGTCTGAAAGTTGACATACGTATTCACAATGCATTGGTTGATGGGTGGTCCTTTCTCACAAAGCAAGAATTGATAATAATGCTGTTTGCAACTTGATAAGTCCGAAAATGTACCCTCTTGACAGTCATTTTGAAAACCAGTCTTTTAGGGGCTTTATGTTTACAGGGCAAAGAAATCGACAGTGATCAAGGGAAAAAGAATGGTGAGGGCTGGGATATAGTGCTTGCCAAGAAAGTGCAATGCCCTGGGTTTAAAAAAAAAAAAACAGTTAAAAAAAAGCTGGTACTAGTGGCTCACATCTGTAGTCCTAGCTACTCAGGAGGCTGACATCTGAGACTGCGTTTCAAAGCCAGCCTTGAGCAAAAGGAGCTCAGGAACAGTGCCCAGGCCCAGAGTTCAAGCCCGAGGACTGGGGGGGGGGGAGAAAGAAAGATGAGAATAAAGCAAGGGACATGTGTGGCCCAGCAGGAGGTGCAACAGCCCCAGTGTTGTTCCTGGAGCCTCTGTCCTCACCTTCCCAGCCTAAGGGTTCACCTCTTGAATTTCTGGGCATTTTCTGAAGAGCCTGGTTAAACCAGAATATCTTGTTTTGCATCTGGTATACATGTAATATTCATGTAAAGCTGTACTTGAAGCTATACACTAATATAATTACATGTTTTTGGCTGTGAATAACCAAATGTATCCCCAAAGATAAGAGAGATCCTGATGATCTCGGTTTGTATGAGGCAGAACATAATTAGAGCTCCCCGTGTGAGGTAAAGAACGTCTTTTTTTTTTTTTGGTGCCAGACCTGGGGCTTAAACTCAGGTCCTGGGTGTTGTCCATGAGTTTTTTTGCTTCAGGCTAGAGCTTTACCACTTGAGCCACAGCTCCACTTTTGGCGTTTTTGGTAGTTAATTGGAGATAAGAGTCTCACAGACTTACTTGTCTGGCTGGCTTTAAACCATGATCCTCATATTTCAGCCTTCTTAGTAGCTAGGATAATAGGCATGAACCACTCATACCGAGCCAAGAGTATCTTTTTTTTTTTTTTTCCCAATTGGGCTGCTGACTGGCCTGGCAGGGATTGGAGGAGTTTCTAAGACTCCTCAGTCCTCCCTTATGCCCTGATCATTTGTGTTGGTATACAGAAGGGTGTCTTATTAACTGTGGTAAGTATCCAGGCTTTTTAGAGACTCACTCTAAAATGGCTACTTTGGGTCTCAGGTTGCTTCTAGCATTGGAAGATGGTATCCTTGTCTGTTGCATCTTGCCATCTCATTTCCTTTTTATTTGGTTCAATGACAATAATAAAAAGTTCTCTTCCTTAAAGTCTGAGGAACTCTACGGAGGGCTCTTCATTGGCACAATTGGATTATAGTTCCTTCCTGGACTAGGGCTTTAGTAGCAACTATTTTAATTATGAGATTGAGTACATTTTCTTATTAAGTTATAAATGCTGGGGGGAAAAAATCATTGAGTTCTGTAGTAGGCACCAAAGATAATAGGGCAAATTCTAGTAAGAATAGGAACTGTATGAGGGTATAGGTACATGTTAGTGGAGGCTCCAGTGTTTAAGTGATTATAAAACATTAATCCTTTAGAAGATAGTAGTGGTGGTTTGGATTTGATTTGTGCTGGGGATTGAATCCAGGGCTTTGTGAAAGATAAGCTACTGTGGTGTTGGTTTATTTGTTTTTTGACAGTCTTGGGCTTGAACTCAGGGCCAGGGCACTGTCCCTGAGCTTCTTTTGCTCAAGGCTAGCACTCTACCACTTGAGCCACAGCACCACTTCCAGCTTTTTTTTTTTATGTGGTACTGAGAAATCGAACACAGGGCTTCACGAATGCTAGGCAAGCACTCTACCACTAAGCCACGTTCCTAGCCCTTAATATCCATCTTTAGCTTATAAGCAAGATGTGGTACTGCACAAGGGCTGTTAATCCCAGCCCTTGGGAGATGATGTCAGGAAGATCTTGGTTCAAAAACAAAAACAAGCTCTGCACCAGCTGCTCACGGTTGTAGTCCTAGCTACTCAGGTGACTGAGATCTGAAAATCTTGGTTGGAAATTAGCTTGGGCAGAAAAGTCTGTGAGATTCTTCTCTCCAATTAACCACCCAAAAATGAGAAGTGGAGATGGGGCTTAAAGTGGTATAGTGCTACCCTTGAGCACAAAGAGGCTCAGGGACAGAGCCTAGGCCCTGAGTTTAAGCACCAGGACTGGCCAAAAAATAAAATTAGTCATGAGCGTGAAAGCTTATTTCAAGTACTAGTACTGGCAAAAGAAAAAAGAAAAAAAAATTCTTAGATGTCAGGTCTAACACTGTAATTGATTACATATCCATACCCATTGAGTGATTCATGGGTTATTAAATATGTGGAAATGCCCTTTGGACCGTTGAGGTTAATCTTTAGGAGAATTGCCCCATAGTGCCACTGTCAGATTATTTGGTTGGATATAACACTGCCTGACAGTTCTCAGTGTTATAGTGTATTATTCCCTACCCTGGGAACCTCAGAGCTCTGCCCTAGAAATACAGACTACTTAGTTTGCCTCTTACCCCACTTGCCATCCTCAAAGACCTGGAACACAGATCTTTAGCCTTAGCTTATTGCTTGACTTTATAGAGGTTTTTTTTGTGATATTTAAATACTAAAACAAAAGTATGGAAAAGCATGAAGTTAGAAATAATCCATGGAGGTAAAGTATTAGATTAAAAAGATGAGTTAAGAGTTAACTAGCTGGGCTGGGAATGTGGTTCAGTGATAGAGTGCTTGCCTTGCATGCATGAGGTCCTGGGTTTGATTCCTCAGTACCACATAAGGAGAAAAAAGCCAAAGTAACACTGTGGTTCAAGTGGTAGAGTGCTAGCCTTGAGCCGAATTGCTGAGAGACGGCGCTCAGGCCCACAGTTCAGACCCATGACCAACCAAAATAATAATAATATAATAATAATAATAATAAAAGTTAACTAGCTGTGCTGGGTGCCAGTGGCTCATGGCTGTCATCCTAGCTACTCAGGAGGCTGAGATGAGGATTGTGGTTCAAAGCCAGCCCAGGCAAGAAGGTCTATAAGACTCCTATCTCCAGTTAACCACCGGAAAACTGGGAATGGCATTGTAGCTTAAGTGGTAAAGCACTGGCCTTGAGCTGAAGAGCTCAGGGACAGCGCCCAGGCCAGAGTTCAAGCCCTACAACCGACCAAAAACAAAGTTAACTAGCTGCCAAAATATATTTGCAAACTCCTTATTCTCCTTAGCTAAGCTCTGAGTCTTCGCCTTTCATATGGTCTTACTTTATCTTGTGTTCCTAATATTTGATCACTCTTGCAGTATCCCTCATGGTTGTATTGTAAAGTTCTGGGGAGGATTTTAAATATCTGCCTGTTTGAGGATTCTTATCCTCAAGTTCTGGTTGTTGGGGTGGGCTTTTTTTGTTTGTTTTTCACAGGATCTTGATCTGAAAATTTTCCCACAGCCTGTCTAATCCTGGGATTACAGGCATGCCCCACCCTGGGCATAGCTGGGTTTTTTGTTTTGTTTTTGTTTTGTTGGTCATGGGACTTGAACTCTGGGCCTGGGTGCTCAAGGCCAGCCCTCTACCACTTGAGCCACAGCGCCACTTCCAGTTTCCTGGTGGTTAATTGGAGATAAGAATCTCATGGACTTTCCTGCCTGGGCTGGCTTTGAACGGGGATCCTCAGATCTCAGCCTCCCTTTCAGGCATGAGCTTGCATATCTGGTTTTTGATGTTTACGTTTTTAATGTTTAAGCAGAAGGGAAACTATTCTCTTCTTTTAAAAAATAAAAGGAGCTGGGCGCTGGTGGCTCACGCCTGTAATCCTAGCTACTCAGGAGGCTGAGATCTGAGGATCGCGGTTCAAAGCCAGCCCGGGCAGGAGA